TTTAAAATGCAATTCCTCAGCTGCAGGAGCCACATTTCAAATGCTCAAGAGCCACAGGGACTCGTAACAGGAAAGCTTCAATACAAAGAAAGAAGTCCCAAATTCCCATTGCCTCCCAACCCACTTACCTGGGTGGGCCTGGCTCACAGGACCCAAACACACAAGCTAAGTACCAAGAAAAGGCAGCCGGCAGCTGCGTGGGAATCCGTATTCCTTCCCTTTGGTGTGGGCACCACCTGGCTGGGGCATGGTATCTCAACGTCTGCATTAGGACACCGTGGTCCCAGGAAGTCCCGTTGTGGGGGCTGCCCTAAGCATTCTAAGTTGGTTTAGTGGCCACCTTGGCCTCTAATCACCAGGTGCCCAGAGCATCCCCACTTCCCAGTTGTAACCAAAAATGTTTCCAGACTTTGTCCCCCCTGAGGCCAAAGTCGCCCCCAGCTGAGAACGTTCTCTGGACTAAACCAAGTGCTTCAGTCACCGCTCCGCGTTTCAACTTCCTGCACAAACCCGACAGCTTCCTGCACAAACCTGACAGCGCTGCACGCCTGCATGCACCTACCCTTCTTCAGGGACCGGCTCGACAGCCCAGAAAACCCGATTCCCTTCTGAATGGCCCAACAGCTCTCTTAACTACCACGGGGTGTGGACATTTAGCATGTTTGCAAACCAAAATAAACTTTACCAAAGTGATGGAGAAGGGGGAATGCTTTTCACACAACGTCTGGTTGCTCGATTTCAATTTGTTTGAAAAACCACACCAAAGCTCACTTCAACAGTATCTAATTATGGAAGTCAAGGGCCAGGGGGAAAGGCTCGCAAAGCGGAGTGGACTTAAAAAAAACCGGTGCCGGACCTTCCGAATGACGGACCTCACTAGTCACAACCTGGGGCGCTGCTTCGCGTCCCCGGCAGCGGCATCCCCGAGGCGTAACAAAAGGGCCCCGGCAGCTGGCAACACTCTGGCTCGCACGGGACAGCGGTTTCGTTCTCCCCAACGCGCCGGGGGCTGCCGTCCCCCGCAAACCGCCTGTCCCGCATTGCGACTGCGGGTTCTAAGTGTTTCACGCCACCCGATCCTCTGAACTCTAAGAAGCCAACAATCGCAGAAACCGCTCCCTCCCTTCCTCCCCAGGCCCTCGACTCGGACGCCCGGCGTGTCCCGGTCGGCAGCGCAGCCTGGAAACCCCGCCGGCGGCTCCGGGGCCCTCGGCATCAGGCCTCAGTCCGACACGCCAGGGGAGCGCAACTGGGCTTCGGGCGGCCGTAGCGCGGACGGGGGAACCGGGGGGCGACGGATGGCTCGGATACGCAGCGGATGACGGCACGGGCACGGGAGACTCACCATGATGAAGGTTGGTCTTCAAGCAGCCAGGGAGGAAAAGAGAGCCACTCTTCCTCGGCCAATCATATCAACGCGTACGGAAGGACCCCGGCGGCGCCAGCGTGGGGGCGTGGCCAGATCGCGAGGCTGACCACGCCAATGCCGGATTGGAAGTGCCTAAGGCCACGCCTCATCCATCTTTGGCCACACCCAGAATTCTGATCTAACCAATCAGGAGGTGGAACATTTCAGTGCTGACTACGTAAGCACACGTTCAATTTCAGTTCCATTCACTACTATGTGAATTATCCCTACTTAAAATTTCTGTAAACTAAGTTACAGTTTAAATGAACAAAAAGCCAAGGATAAACACCATGTTATTTCACTTATATGTGGAATCTAATGAACAAACAAATTTGAAACATACTCATGAACACAAAGAGCCCGGCTGGTGGTTGCCAAAGGGGAGGGGTTGGAGGACTGGGTAAAAGAGGTGAAGGGGTTGGGAAGTACAAATAGGTAGTTAACAAAATAGGGGGTGTAAAGCATAGGTAATATAGTCAGTATTATTACAATAACTATGTATGGTGCCTATTGAGTACTGGAAATACTGGGGGGTGGGAACTAACCAGTAAGCTGCACACCTAAAACTAATCTATAATAATAATCTATAATAATAAAAGGGTAATATGCTAATTAGACCAGACGGTCCTTCTGGATGTCCTGTACGAAGTCGAAGTCGGGGCCAGAGGGAAGACAGCCAGGTCCCAGGTGCCAGAGAGAAGCTGATGCCGGCAGCCCCGGGAAGGAAGGCCTACTCATGCATGAATTTCGTGCATTGGGCCTCTAGTATAAAATAATAGCTAATGTCAACTGTAATTGAAAAATCAAGTTTGAAAAATAAGCAAAAAGAAAAAATTACATCCAGCTGAGTTACAAGTTGGTAAAGCTGGAAGACATCGTATGCCAGTCTCCTTATTTCATAAAGAAACTGAAGAAACCCTGACTCAAAACCTTTGTTATTTCAAGTGCTCAAACTGACTGTTTTGATTGGATTTATTGCTAATTAGCATTTTTGTGAGATTCTCTGTTGATGTTCTTCCTCCCCCCCGCCTCTCTCTCTCTCTCTCTCTCTCTCTCTCTCTCTCTCTCTGCCATCTGTTGATGTTCTTATTAAAAATAAATAACTCTTGGGAGGGATGAGGACACATTTGTAATACCTTAACTAATAAAAAATAAAATAAAATAAAATAAATAAATAAATAACTCTTTTTCTGCAAATCTTAGTTCTTACAAAAAATGAGTTTTTAATGAGTACTTGCTTGATCCAGAAATTTAATTATTCAAAGTGAAAGAGACATGTAAAGATAAAGAATATACGTGTGGATGTTCAAAGCGAGGCATTAGGAAAGAACTTCCCAGAGGTTAGTGCAGACCAGGAGACCAGGATGCAGGCTTTGAGGGTAGCTTTCCTGCATGCTTCAGAATAATAAAAATAATTAATATTCATTGAATGATTGCCTGTTGCATTCTAATTACTTTTACCGTCATTATACCACTTAACCATCCCACCAACCCTAAAATTAGGGCACTGTGGGGTCAATCAAAGACATAGCCCAATTCCCCCTCCCAGTCAGTGGAACAGTGTCCGCCTGGCCAGTGGCCACAAGAAGCAGATCAGCACAGACCCCAGGGCCTTGCCTGGACCCTGACAGCTGAAAACCTCACCAGACTCTGTCTTTGTCCTGCCTGTACGCAGGGTGTTCCCCTACCGTCTAGTTAAGCCCCTATCCAACCCTGACCGAGAGCAGACACTCACTCCCCTGGCAGCCAAGGGGTCTTCCTCATTGTGTAAGTAATAAAGTCCATGTCTTGCCCTGGCCGGTTTGGCTCAGTGGATAGAGCATCAGCCTGCGGGCTTAAGGATCCCAGGTTTGATTCCGGTCAAGGCACATGCCCGGGTTGCAGGCTAAGTCAGACGTGCAGGAGGCAGCCAATCAATGATTCCCTCTCATCATTGATGTTTCTCTCTCTCTTCCTCTCCCTTCCTCTCTGAAATCAATGGGGGTATATTTAAAAATAATAAATTAAAAAAAATAAAGGCCACGTCTTTTCCCTCTGGTCCCCTCATGGTTTTGTCAACTAGCAAAGAACAGTGTGGCACTCCCGGGATTGGAGCTTCTATGTTACAGGTACCTATTCTACCCTTTTTATAAATGGGTAAGTGACTAAGACACAATAAGGTTAAATAACTTTGCCGAAGTCACACAACTTGGAGGCCCTGTGGTTCCAGAACCTTTGCCCTTACCCTCCAGTCACTCATCAGATCTTATTGGTATAGGATTGTCAACATTACTTCAAAGATACAATGAGCGATTAACTGCTGAAATCGGTTAGGAACATCTGGTTTGCTTTTTGTCTGCCACATTATTGTTTTACTGGTGAGGATTCATGGAGTCTGAAATTTAGATGGCATCTCTTCATAAAATGTAAAGATTGTTGATCCACTTTATAACAGTTTCTCAACGTAGTAAAGAAATTTCAGGTTCTGTAGCGCTGAGTCCTGTGATGGTGCGGTTTCCTTGCTAGTTTTGTGCACTAAGATGTCATATTAATCACCTCCCACGGGTTGCCACAGACTGTAGGCAAGCAATTTATTTCAATACGTAAATGATCTTTCCTTCCTAGTCTCTCTTCATCTTGTTTCCCTAGCTCATCGTGGCTCACTGTTCACTCTGAACAGACACTTTCAGCTTCTGTTTTTGCAACCAGGAACATGAGTTTAATCATTTTCTTTTGCAAAGTATCTTTGTGAACTGGAGGAGCCTGCGTGGCTGTGTTTTCTGCCTTGTTTATTTTTTTGTTGGATGTCCAGATGGTGCCCTTTGTTCCTTGGGAGGGTCCATTTCAGCCTCCAACGCTCTTAAACTATTTGAGACTTTACTTAAGATGCTATTAAGGGTGATAATCACTATTTTTTCTTTTATGCCTCTCTGTTTGTCTGAAAATCCTGAGGCAATGAGTTGTGGCTTCTCCACCTGTGTCAGATGACCTGGAGAAAAGAAGCAGAAATGGGACTTTGAAAATACAGGAGCAGGTCCGACCAGTGTTGCTCAGTGGTTGAGCATCGACCTATGAACCAAGAGGTCACATTTCGAGTTCTTTTTTTTTTTTTTTTTTATAATATATTTTATTGATTTTTTACAGAGAGGAAGGGAGAGAGATAGAGAGTTAGGAACATCGATGAGAGAGAAACATCGACCAGCTGCCTCCTGCACATCTCCCACTGGGGATGTGCCCACAACCAAGGTACATGCCCTTGACCGGAATCGAACCTGGGACCTTTCAGTCCACAGGCCGACGCTCTATCCACTGAGCCAAACCGGTTTCGGCCACATTTCGAGTCCTTGGCAGGGTAGGAGCTCAAACCCCAGAGGGGGGGTGTACAGGACGCAGGCAATCATTCTCTCATCATCATTGATGTTTCCATCTCTCTTCCTCCCTGAAATCAATAAAAATATTTTTAAAAAAAATAAATACAGACCCGGCTTCCCTGCCATTTCAAGGAGGTGCCACAAGATGGCAGTGGATGTAGAACTAAAAGAATCGGTGTCCCTGAAGCCTCTCTTGACAGACGGCCTGCGAGTAGCGGAAGCGGAAGCGGAAGCGGCCACGTGAGACGCTTTACGGTGGCCGAGAGGCTGCAGCGGTTGTGTCTGTAGCAGCATCCCCGGAGGAGTGGGGAACCTCGTTTACCTAATCCAGCCCCCCGAGTCCGGGGAGCTGCCCCGGCAGCCGTCACCATGGTGAAGGAGCAGTTCCGGGAGACGGATGTGGCCAAGAAAATGTAAGATGGAGCAAGACTGGCCACGGGGAGCGAGAGGGGGGCGGAGGGGCGGAGGGGCCCGAGGTCAGGGGTCCCGGGCCGTCAGGGTGTGAGGTGAGGGCCAGTTGGAAGGGGCGGCTGGGAGTCAGCCGAAGGGCTGGGCAGAGGTCAGAACCCGGCGGGTCAAAGAATCCCGACCCGGAGCGAGCCCTCCGCACCGAGGGGCTGCAGGCCGGGCTGGGCCGGGCCGGGCGGGAGGGGCGTGGGCCTGGGCGCTGCGATCGCACGCCGTGGGCCGAGGCTCGCCTTCCCCGAGGTCAGGCCGTGGTCCCTTGACCCCCGCGACCTTCTCGCCGCGGCAGCGTGGGGAGCCTCCGGGCGGGGACCATGCTGGTCTTGCTGCAGCGCACCGGGCGGGAGGCCCCGTGCCCGGGAGGACAGGCTGTCCGCTAGAGCGCTGCGCCCCGGGATGGGCAGCCTCGGAGGGGGGCTGCAGTCCCGGGCCTGCTCCCCCAGGGCTGCTTTACGAGCCGCGGCCCCTCGCAGAGCGCCCAGTGGGAAACGACAATCCCCCGTCCTGGCAGCAGGCATCTGCGAGGAAGGCGCTGTGTGCTGGCCCAGCGACGGGCCTTGCGGATCGGCCGGGAATCAGGACCTCACTGCCCGGTGCAGCTGCGGAAGGCAGACAGGGCAGCGACAAGGGTGGGCACAGGGGCTTCCGGGAGCCCCGAGTGAGAAGGGTTCGGGCAGCAGAAAGCCACCAGGCAGCTTTCTCCGGGACCTTGGGGAGGGACAGGGTCGATGAGAAGGAAGCGTGTGTCCGGAGTCGGAGGCAAGGAGGGACCTTTGAAGGTTTTCACTGAGCAGCGGAGAGGCTTGATCAGAGTCCTGAAAGGTCTCGTGGTTCAGAGGGGGTGGCCCTGGCGGCCTGGGCAGGGATCGGGCAGGGGATGCTGGCCTGCACTGGGGCGGCAGGGCCATTGGAGGGAAGTGGGTTCCAAAGGGGCTTCGGGTCAGGATGAGTAAGGGAGGAATGAGATGCACAGAGTTTCCTGCTTGGGCGGCGGTGTGGATGGTTCCTTTCCCTGGAATGGGAAGGCGCCTCTCTCCCAGTGGGCCCTGGCCTCTCACACCCACGCCAACCCCGCCTCTACTCACATGTAATCTCTTCTCACAAAGTAACCCAAGTGACTGTTAAGAAGCAAATCACATCCCTGACAGTTCAGCTTAAAATCTTCTAGCAGCTTCCGTTGCACTAACATTTAAATTCCCTGTCATAGTTCCCGAGCCCTATGTGACCTCTCTGACTTCATCTTGTGCTGTTAGCTTCATGTGCTCTAGTACACAGCTTGCATTTGGTTCCTTGAAAATGCCAGGCTTGCCGAGTAGCTGAGTGATTAGAGCAGTGATGGTGCACCTATGACATGCGTGTCAGAGGTGACACATGAACTCATTTTTTTTGGTTGATTTTTCTTTGTTAAATGGCATTTAAATATATAAAATAAATATCAAAAATACAAGTCTTTGTTTTACTATGGTTACAAATATCAAAAAATTTCTCTATGTGACACGGCACCAGAGTTAAGTTAGGGTTTTTCAAAATGCTGACATGCCGAGCTCAAAAGGTTCGCCATCACTGGATTAGAGCATCGTCCCCACACAAGGTTGCAGGTTTGATCTACAGTCAGAGCACATGCAAGAATCAACCAGTGAAGCATCAGTAAGTGGAACAACTAATCTCTCTCCCTCAAAGCTATAAGTAAAATAAAACATCTGTATAAAAACGAAAGAAAGAAAATGCCAAGCTTCTGCTGGTCCTGCGGCCCTTGCCCTATTTATGCTCTATTTCAAGTGCTCAGCCAGCGGATCATCTTATTGCTGGTTCCTTCTTATTCAAAATTCAGCTTAAAAGTCCATTTTACACAGGAACTTCCTGACTACACAGCATAAAGTCGGCTCCTTAAACTCTACCCCTTCACATCATTTCATTCTCTGCTTTTACTCCGTCTTGTGGATCAGTTTATTATCTGTCTTGTCTACCCTGGACTGTGAGCTCCATGTTGGCAGGGGACCTTGTCTGTCTTATCTAATCTGTGCTCTCAGCCCCTCAGGAGGTGCCTGGCACATTGTAAATCCCCAATTTGGGGGGAAAGTGAATGAAGAAACAGATCAGGGAGAGAAAGTCTTGGGTTCTGTTTTAGAAGCGCTGAGTCTGAGGTGCCTGTAGGGCATTGAGCATGGGTGTCCAGAACAGGTGTCTGTGTGGCCTTCAGCTGAATAGAAATAGCTGGCCGACAGCTAGAGATTAGACAGATGTCAGCATATAATCAAGTGCCAGGGTCACTCAGGAGGACTGTGTACAATGAACAGAAAAGAGGATGAGGGGTATCAGCCCCGGTAGGGGGCGATGCCAATATGTAAGAGATGGCAGTAGAAGAAGAGACCACAAAAGCATCAGCCAGAGAAGGGAAGAAAGCTCCGAGTATATGGGGTCACCAAAGCCATGAAAAGACAGTATTTCAAGGTATGAGGGAAGCACGGCAGCTGGGAGATGCTCTCACTAGATTTAGCAACCAGCGGGTGACCTCGGTGAGCCCCACTTCATTCGATAGAGGGGGAACAGTTCCAGCAGGATGAAGGGTGCTTACCGAGGAAAAATGGGAGAGGTTTTAATATATAATAATGGGGCGCAGAGCCTATAGAGAGATGGGAGGATGTGGTTGGTTATGGTGGGTCACAGATGTAATCACCGTTTTTGGTAGGTGGTTTTGATGTAATTGCTCCCCTGTTTCTTTTCATTCCAGAAGCCACATCTGTTTTGGAATGAAGTCACCCGAGGAGATGCGCCAGCAGGCACACATCCAGGTTGTGAGTAAGAACCTGTATAGCCAGGACAACAACCACGCCCCCTTGCTGTACGGGGTGCTTGACCACAGGATGGTAAGACCCCTGCACCTTCCGGGTTCTTTGTGCTTGGACTTGAAACTAGTGACTTATCACATGGATGGAAACAGGGCCTCCTTCCACCCCCCCCCCCCCCCCCCCCCGTTCCCCTGCGCACCCATCCCAGCCCCCAGCCTGCGGTCAGTTGGATGGGAATAGACTTTAGCTTCCCAGGCGGTTCTGATTCCGAGTCACTGGGCCACCGGTGAGGACTGGTCCCCACTTTGCTATCCGGTGGTCCTCATTGATTACTGGGGGTGCTTTTATCCAAAGGGCACCAGTGAGAAGGACCGTCCTTGTGAAACCTGTGGGAAAAACTTGGCTGACTGCCTGGGCCACTACGGATACATTGACCTGGAGCTGCCTTGTTTTCACGTGGGGTACTTCCGAGCCGTCATAGGCATCTTGCAGGTGAGTGCGTGTGTGTTCCTGTCCCAGGCATGAACTTGGGAGTTATCAGTTAGGGACATTGGAGTGATCTTAGGAATTGTGAGAGGTGGGAGACACATCTAGGGAAAATTTTTATACTAAGCGCATAATATTTTATCTTCAATAAATAAGTTGCTTACGGACTCTTTATTCTTTAAATTTCCTTGAGTAAGTGGTAGCTATGCAATATAAAAGATAATAAAATAATAATTCAAGTCATACAGAACAACAGAGGGAAAAAAGTTAAAGATCCTACCAGCCATCTCTGATTGGCTAGCTTTATCATGAGCTCGGGCTGCCTCTGTGCAGATCTTCGTGTAGGTCCCCCAGTGCATGGTCACTCCGTGTCCTGGGCAAGGCGTGGGGGTGCCATTTTAAAAAGAAGGCTTTTCATCCTCTTATCCTTTATCTGTTTTGTTTAATTTTTAAAAGATGATCTGCAAAACCTGCTGCCACATCATGCTGTCCCAGGAGGAGAAGAAGCAGTTTCTGGATTATCTCAAGAGGCCTGGCCTGACCTACCTCCAGAAGCGAGGGCTGAAGAAGAAAATCTCTGATAAATGCCGAAAGAAAAACATCTGCCATCACTGTGGCGCTTTCAATGGTGAGCAGAACGCAGGAAAGGTTCAGCAGTAATCCTTTCCACTCATTCTGTTTAGCCTATTAGCTTTATGCAGTGTTTCTCAGTCAACTTTTTTTCTTGCAAATTAGGCTATAGAGACTAGCAATTGGTACACTGTTAGGAAATGTACCTCTCATCTTTCTTTTATCCTTGTTGGATTAAAAAAATGAACAGAAAAGAGGATGAGGGGTATCACACCAGGTAGGAGGCGATGCCAATATTTAAGAGATGGCAGTAGAAGAAGAGACCAGCATTGTTTTGGGGTGTTTTTTTTTAATTGATTTTTTTTTAGAGAGAGAGAAAGAGAGAAACATAGATTGGCTGCCTCCTGTGTACACCCCAACCAGGAATCTAACCTGCAACCTTTTGGTGTACAGGTGAACACTCAACCAACTGAGCTACCCGGCCAGGGTGCACATCTTATCTCTCATTGCTGTACCAATTTCAGTAACTTCATTAACCAGGCTGCAACCTCAGGCCAGCCTAGCTAATAACCTTTTATTTAACCTTAGTAATAAATTCCTACAGGTACTGTAAAGAAGTGTGGTTTACTGAAGATAATTCATGAGAAATACAAGACCAACAAAAAAGTGGTAGATCCTATCGTATCGAATTTCCTTCATTCTTTTGAAACGGCCATCGAGCACAACAAAGAAGTGGAGCCCCTGCTGGGGAGGGCACAGGTGAGTCTGATGTGCATGCCTGCCCTCTTCCTGCCTCCCCTGCCCCACCTGCTCTCTGCTTCCCCTGCTCCCCCAGGTCTTACACACGTTCTGTCTCTCCACCCTCTGATATGCGCACGTTTTGCAAAATGCGAAGTTCAGTTAAGTTAGATCTCCAAGAATACTTCATGTGACAAGTGCATAGCACTAAGCCTAATGTGGACTGGTCTTGTAACTAACAAATTTTCCTTTGTCCAGGTAACATGTCATATCTTTATTGTAAAAGATTGTAAAATTATAGCTGTACAGAGCACAAACTGAGAAATCCTGTTTCTCACGGCGATAATGAGACATAAGAACTTGTAGGTAATTTTCATTACTTTTATTGGCATATATTTGACCAACAGAATCTTATGAAGTGTCTTATTTTTACCCTGCTCTGAGCTTGATTAGTTCTTAATTCACATAGGACTGTCGAGAATTGATACTATATGAAACTAACCAATTAGTTGAGTGGCTACTGAGTACCAGACTCTATGAGACCTGTGGGGGAGCATCAGGAGCTGCCACCACTCACTGGGTCTGCTCTCAAGGATCCCACAGTTTAGATGTGTCGGTAGCCATTCATCTGTGAAAAGAGAACTAATATCATAGCCGCAGCGCTGACTCACAAGAATGGCAAGGACAGTAAGTTCAGTGGGAAATTGGGAGGAAAATGTCACTTTGGACTTGGTTAGGGAAGACTGAGGAAAGGTGTGGTTCCATCTGGTGTAAATGCCAGTGGGCTTAGAGAGTCGGGCAGTGAGCTCAGGACGTGCAGGTCACAGTGCCTAGGTTTCCGCTGAGGCGGAGGCTCTCTTTGAAAGACCGGGGAGCGATGGAAAAGCACCTCACGTTTAGTGACTGCTGGCACGCACTGACCCTGTTCCGAGTTCTTCAGATGGATTAGCTCATGCAGAAGGAGGATTACAGCTTTGAGTACGCAAAACAGTTTGTTCTTGTATTATTATCGACTAATGATTGTGTTATTGTCCATACAAACAACTAAGCCTGCTTTGCCCCACCTTGTACTTAATCCCACAATACACTTCCAGGACAGCGTTGCACAGGATGGCAGTGAGGAGGGAGCGGGAGCTCTTGCCAGGGAGTTGGCTTGCAGGCCCACGATGGCCAACTGACAGTACTGGGCGGAGGGCCTTATGCTCGGGGCGTGTGGAGCCACTGAAGGTTTTGAGCAGGGAGGGAAATGATGAACAAATGGTGAAGTTTCAAAACACCTGGCTGCTCTTAAGAAAACACCATGACGAAAGGGAAAAGGCAGGTCTTGACTGGGAGAAAGAAGTCACAATTCCTAAATCCTGACAAAGGACTCTCGTTGCCAGAACACAGGAAACAGCTTTTACAAATCACTAAGGAAAAAAATGACCTGATTGGTTTCAGAGAGAGGAAGGAAGAGGGGGAGAGAGAAACATCAGTGATGAGAGAGCACCATTGATCGGTTGCCTCCTGCACACCCCATACTGGGGATCAAGCCCACAACCAGGGCATGTACCCTGACCTCCTGGTTCATGGGTCAGTGCTCAACCACTGTGCCACACTGGCTGGGCAAAACCCACCTAATTTTAAAAGGTGGGAGCAAGACTTGAATTGGCCGAAAAGTTGTATAGGCCATTTGGATACATCATAAAAGGATGTACCCAAATGGTCTATAAGTAAATGAAAAGTTGTTCAATGTTATTGGTCATCAGGGAAATGCTAATTAAAATATACACACACCTTCCCAGAAAAATTAAAATGTAAAAAAACTGAAAACCAAGTGTAGGGAAGGGTCTGACACATTGATGTGGAAGTATAAAATGTTATCGCCACTCTGAACAAGTTTGGCAATTTCTTATCAAGTTAAACCTACATGTGGTCTAGCAATTTTACTTTTAGGTATATACTCAAAATGAGTGTATATGTATGTACACAATATTTGTACAAAAATGTTTCTTGCAGCTTTATTAGTAAAAGGCAAAATTGGAAACATCCCAAATGCCTGTGAACAGGAGGATAAATAAATTGTCGTATGTCCATACAAGTGAATATAGTTCAATGAAAGAAATAACTCCTGACTCACATTCTGGCTGACTCTCAGAGTCCTGCTGCGAGGAAGAAGCTGTGTACAAGAGTACCTAGCGTCCGACCCATTTAGATCAAGTCCAAAAACAGGCGGGGCTCATCTGTGGGAGCAGATGTTGGGAGAGCCGTTACCCTGTGGTGAGGGCGAGGCGCTGGCTGGGAAAGGAGCACCAGGTGGTTTCTGGAGAGATGGAAATACTCTGTATCTTGATCTGAATGGTGATATGTATGCACACAGGTGTACGCATGTAGAGGTTTAAAAATCTCTAAGATTTGGGCAATTTCCTATGTATAATTATGCTTTGAATTGAAGAAAGGGGAAACCAACCCTGAACTTGGGTAGTGATGGTGGAGCCTGAGGCCAGAGTCAGTGTGTACAGTAAGAATGGACCGGAATTGATGACCCGCCACTGTGGAGATGGGTGTGTGAGGCAGAAAGCTGTCAGAAGCCTAGCAAGCAGCCTTGGTCAGTTTGCATGAGGATACCCGGGCTTTCTTGGATGCGGTCTTACTTGTGTTCCCCGTAGTCACTCTGCTGCTCTCAGATCAGCCTCCCTGGCATCTCACTGGCACTTTCCGCTGCTGCCTCTCTGCCCAGAACCTGCGGCACTGTCCTCACTTGCCTAGGACCGCTCTTCTGACGCTTCCACAGGGTGGTCCTCCTCTAGGGCCGGAGGCATCTGGTTTGGAAGTCTCCTACGTGACTTGGCCTAGGAAGGACCCCCTCCATTTAAGAGCCACTTATCTGCTGCAATAAGCTGGGCCCTTGGGACACTCCCCCACTGCCACCACCTCCCCGTGCCCCCACTCCACTTTACCCAGGTTGACACCCTAGAGGTGGTTTAGGTAGTGGTTACGAGCTTTGTCTGTGGGGTCACACAGACCTGAGATTAGAGCCCAGCTTCGCTCCTTATTATTTCCACGATCTCAGACACATGACCCAACCTGTACCTCAGTATCCTCAGCTACAGAGCAGGGATTGCAAGAGTATCTGCTTTAGGGCTTTCGCGAGGATTAAGAGATGATTCCAGATCCAGTGCTTAGCACAGTATCTGACACATACAAGTGCGTAGAGCATGTTGCCCAGTTGCAGCAGTAGTTTCCACTGCCACTAACAGTCCTGTAATAACAATCGTGATAAAGATGAGGAGGTTTCCTCCCACCTCTGCTGTGATCAGACTCAGCGTCCCTTCAGCTTAATGACGCCTCCCTTCCCTCCTCGGCGTCACCAGAGTTCCCAGCCTTCACTGCTTCTGTGCAGCCTGCTCTGCTGTCTGGACCCCCTTTGAGCTCTCAGCCTTGCCTCCCCATGTGTACAGCTTCTGTGTCTTGTCTAACACTTGTGCTCTGTCATGTGCTTTTCCTGGTTTCTTCTGCTTAAGCTTGGTCCGTAACAAGATCCATGTTTCTGAGGTCCTGTTTGATGCCAGTTTTGGTGCTTGGAGCCTGGCAGGGTCCCTGAGATCATCAGCTGGCCCTAGTTCATTTCCTTTTCAGGAAAGGAACCCCATGCCTTTATGGGCGGCACAGTGTGATTGAGTCTGGGTTACACACCATGTAGGAATTGAACTGAACCTCTAGACCAGCCGTGGGCAAACTACGGCCCGCGGGCCGGATCCGGCCCGTTTGAAATGAATAAAACTAAAAAAAAAAAAGACCGTACCCTTTCATGTAATGATGTTTACTTTGAATTTATATTAGTTCACACAAACACTCCATCCATGCTTTTGTTCCGGCCCTCCGGTCCAGTTTAAGAACCCATTGTGGCCCTCAAGTCAAAAAGTTTGCCCACCCCTGCTCTAGACTCTATCCCCTGAAGACTACTGTCTGCCCACTCCCGATTGTAATGTAAATCCAGGGGTTGGTGGACCTGCAGACAAAAGTACCTCCTTAGATGCCATCAGTCTTGTTTCCCCACCAGGTGAAATGCATTCCATGATGTCCCTGGCAGACTGGGTGACAGGCTGCCCTGGCTGCGATCCTGCCGGACATGTTCCCTCACCACTACCCAAAAGCAGCCCACACTAGAGCTCTAGCCGCTGGGATGCTCTGCCCTGTGCAGAACAGTCCTTCTCTGCTGTCTTCATGGGTCCCTGATTTCTGCTTCCCGGTGAGAGCAGAATAAGTCACCAGCCTCCTCCAGGTGCCTCCAGGGAGGCAGTTGGGATATCACTCTTGGAGTAGCTGCTCTCGCAGAGAAATGGCTTCCAGACTCTTGCCAGTTCTGCCCTCCTGACGGCCTTCAGCCCATGATGCTCTCGTCTAGTACTGACTGGTACTCCAGGGGAAGGCTGGCCTTCATCCCCTTCCTAGAATGCTATGAACAGTTCTAGGTTCCCCGTCCCCCCAACTGCTGCAGGTGGTAGTGAGGTGCCCATTGCTGGGAGACAGGGAAACTGAGGAAGGGAGTTCTTTTTCGGGTGAGGATGTGGATTGGAAAAGCTTCCTTCTCCCGACTTCACTGCCATTTCCTCCAGGATGGGACGGCAGTAAGTTTGTTTTGCGGCACTGTTCTGAGGGCAGTAGCTGTTCAGACATTTCTTCCTTAACTGTCTTCCCCTTCTCGTTAAGTTATGCAGAGCAAATTCTGCATGTAGCATTTATTTGCAGTCACGTGCTCTTTGATTCCAAGAAAAATCAATAAGCAGCAACAAGACACAAGCTGATCATTCTTCCCTTTGATCTTTGACTGTCTAATAATTTGCCTAGTTCTTAAGTTGTTACAGCATGGCACTTCCATTAAATGAAGTTAATAGAGACCAATGTAAGTTCACTACAGAAAATTTAAATGTAAAAATAGAAGCAAACCGATTATATTTCCACTCACTGAAAGATAGTACTGTTAAAACCTTGGTAAACTCTTTCATTTCCTCTTTTCTGTATAGATGTACATCCTAAATGGGATCATGTTGTACACATGCTTATTTCATTTACCAGTATTTTGTGAACATCTTTCATGGCTATAGCTGCATTCTATAGTGTCTTTTTTTTTTAATGGCTTCGTAATGTTCGATGTATGATTTTATCTAGCCAGTAACCTGTCAGTCAGGCTGTTTCCAACTTCACTATTAAGAACAGCTTTAGTGAACATAATCTTTATGTTAATTTTTAATCATCCCCTTTGGAATAATTATGGGAAGTGGAATTATTGGTTTAAATAATTGGAATAAAAGGCATGCATATTTTAAGGGCTCTCACAATATAGCACAATATAGATTAGCAGAAATCTGTCATCACTTACACTTACTCTAAGTGGTGAATAGGCTGGAGAGTATGGAGAGTAAGCCCTTGCTCAAGCTATGGGAATTAATGTATCTCCTTCCTGTCCATAGGAAAACTTGAATCCCTTAGTAGTTCTGAATTTATTTAAGCAAATCCCAGCGGAAGATGTCCCTCTTCTTCTGATGAACCCAGAAGCTGGAAAACCCTCCGATTTGATTCTCACGCGACTGTTAGTGCCCCCCTTGTGCATCAGACCCTCCGTCGTGAGTGATTTGAAGTCTGGCACCAATGAAGATGATCTGACAATGAAATTGACAGAAATCATTTTCCTAAATGATGTCATTAAAAAGGTCAGTGCTTCCCATTAGCATATCTCTATGCAAACACTTGTGAGCAAGAAAGTCAAGATGATGAGGCTCGTTTCTGTTCTCTCTCTGCTCCTTTTTAGCATCGGATATCAGGAGCCAAGACCCAGATGATCATGGAAGACTGGGACTTCTTGCAGCTGCAGTGTGCCCTCTACATCAACAGCGAGCTCTCAGGCATCCCCCTCAACATGGCGCCCAAGAAATGGACCCGGGGTTTTGTCCAGCGCCTGAAGGGAAAACAGGGTATGTTGCCAACAAAATGTGCAGGAGGCAGTTGACTGCCTTTGCTTGCGTGCGTGCTTGCTTATTTTCAAATGCATGTCCAGCTTATCTAATTGGGGATCACAGACTTTCCTTGTGCCATGGAGACCTGTGACACATTTTTATTTATTTAGGTCGATTTAGAGGCAACCTCTCAGGAAAGAGGGTGGATTTTTCTGGCAGAACTGTCATCTCACCTGACCCCAACCTCCGGATTGATGAGGTAGCTGTGCCAGTTCATGTGGCCAAAATTCTAACTTTTCCTGAGAAAGTAAGTACCATTCAGCTGCTTGATTCTGTCTTTCGAATCCAGTCCTTTACATTATAGTTTAAGATGCCAAACAACAAACAGTGGAAAATCCCCTGTAGTCCCCCTCAATGCACAATTTGGCATGTGTTAGTATAGGTATCTTTCCTATTTGTTTCATGTTTTACATATGCATCGCTATATGTAGTACAAGCAGAACTGTGTATGTACTCACAGATATATTAAATGTACTGTTCTGCAACTTCTTTCCCAAGTACTATCATCTTTAACATCTTTCTATGTTGCTTCATACCTCATGTTTTAGAGGAGCTAAATGATAAACACCACACACAGTTAATTTTCTTGGGATGGATTTTTATTTATTTTTTAAGTGAAAGAATTTTTTATATACACTAGAGGCCCAGTGCATGAAAATTCATATACTGGAGTGGGGGTCCTTCAGCCCGGCCTGTCCCCTCTCACAGTCCGGGAGCCCTCAGGGGGCGGGAAGCGACCTGGAGATTGGGGAAGGCGACACCCCCATCACACCTCTGCTGCTGCCACTCCCAGCAGTGCAAGCCTCGCCGGCCCTGGTTACCTGAGCCTCGGGCCGGCCCTGGGCGGCTGGGCAGCCACCATCTGAGGCTTGCCTGTGCCTTGGGCTGGCCCTAGAGGGCTGGGGGGCTGAGGGGACTGGGTGCTGCCATCTTTGAGGGCGGGGCAGTCAATTAGCATATTCCCTCCTTATTGGATATGGGTGCCGCCATCTTTTGTGATGGTGTGAGGGTCAATTTGCATATTCCTGCTTTATTAGATATGATATATTTTTATTGATTTCAGAGAGGTCAAGAGAGAGATACATCGTTGTTGAGAGGGAATCATTAATTGGCTGCCTCCTGCACACCCCTCCACTAGGGACCGAGCCCACAACCTGGGTTTGTGCCCTTGACCAAAATCGAACCCAGGACCCTTTAGTCTGCAGGCCAATGCTCTATCTACCGAGCAAAACTGGCCAGGGCGGGATGAATTTTTATTTTTAAAACCTTAGAATCACTGAGTCAAGGCTTTGAGTATTTTAAGGCTATTGATGCATAACCAGAAAGGCTGCACCACTCTACCTCAGTGCACACTCACCGTGAGTGTAAAATACACGGTACCCTTTTTTCAACTGACGTGTACAGGCCTAATATCAGGAGGCTATTAATTGGCTTTGCCTTTGAGATTCATAATTGGCCAGATCATAGACGGTTCTGGTAAAACTTATAGGAAGTGTCCTCAGTTGAGTTTCTGATGATTCAAAGTTTCCTACTCTGAGATGGGTGTTCCAGGAGACTGTAGTCCTACAGGTTGTAGGACAGTGTTGCAGACCAGGGCCTCTGTGCTAGTGTCACCATTTTGAAACCTTAGAAGCCCATGGTAAATCATGGCAGATGAAGTGGCCACCTTTTTGAAGATCACAGTATGTGCTGGAATGTTCCTACAGATCAGTCCAGCCACGCTCTTTTCCGATGGGGATACCAAAGGCGAGTGAAGGACTTGGCTGTGTCATCCATGAGTGAGTGACCAAGTTTGGACTAGAACCTGTGCTCCTGTATGCCAGTCCATTGTCATTACACACATGACCCTAGGCAGCAGGATGCACAGGGCACTGCCGTTCTCCCTCCTAGAACCACACAAAGAAAGTGAATTGAGGCACAATTCAGTGCATTGAATAACTAGTAGAAGTATAGGAACTATAATCTAATAGCATCTCTTTGTGGTCCTGCAGGTAAACAAAGCAAACATTAACTTTTTGAGGAAACTGGTTCAAAATGGACCTGAAGTTCACCCAGGAGCCAATTTCATTCAGCAGAGACACACGCAGATGAAAAGGTAACGCTTTCCCAGTCTGGCTGGGTGTATCTCATGACCACGGTCACTGTTGCCATGGTTAGCCACAGAATGCAGTCCTGAGTACAGTTTTGGGGTATTTAGCATGTGGAAAGTATGTGTTTAAATTGCAGTGAATCTAGGTATACCATTTTCCCCATTTAGTGATTGAATATACGTGAAGTGTTCATTTCTTTCTTAGCATTTAGAGATCCTGGACCTAGGTGGACAAAGCACATCGGGAGAAATGAACCTGTGTCTTATGATCAGCTTTTCATAGTTTAATTGATGCCTCGGGGGGCACCTTAGAGTGAAGAAATATGATCATTTTAGAATTTGAATTCTGATATGAACGGGGAGAAACTTGCTGAGGAGACCTTGCTCTCACATATCATGTGTATTATTGTGTGCGCAGGTTTTTGAAATACGGAAATAGGGAAAAGATGGCTCAGGAGCTCAAGTACGGGGACATTGTGGAGAGACACCTCATAGACGGGGATGTGGTGCTGTTCAACCGGCAGCCCTCGCTGCACAAGCTGAGCATCATGGCACACCTGGTGAGTGTGCAGTTCTGGTCTTATTTTCTGTGGAGTGGAAATATGCTATAAACAATGCTAAATTCCAAACTTCTAAAATTAAAATTGCCAGTAATCTCTGATTTTCATAACCTGCTTTTCCTTTTCTCTCACTTTTTAATTTGAGGGAAACTTAAATTTCAAGCTTTTCTTCAATGTTTTTAATATTTATAATGTAACATTCATACACTTAAACAGAGAGGAACTAATTGAAAATTAGTGTGAAAGTGACTAGCATGATTTCACTTGCAAACTAAAATATATACATATATATGTGCACAAACTTATGTAAAATAGATATGATAAAAAAAAATTGACTTTTGATTTAACTTAGCATATTAACTAAGAAACTAAAATGCTTAAAATATTTTTCTTTGCAGTAGTCCTCCAACTAAGACCCTAAACCATATTTTTTTGGTGATTCCGTTTTGCAAAAGCAGCAGTTTCTTTTTCTGGAAATTTAAAATGGAAATGAGGTGCAACTTTAATTTGTTAAATATTCATTAATTCTCCCATCTTCAAAGCCATTGAACCATGAGCATTTGTAAACAGTGTTTAAACAAGCTCTGAAAGTCGGGTTTTTCTGGATTCCATTTTTCAGTAGTTTGTGAATATATTGCCTAACAGTGAAATACCAAAGCAGCAGTTTATGATTTATGAGGATATGATTATGGGATCTAGGGGAAACAGAAGCCTTCCTTTTCTAGAAGCTTCTGCTTATCTTTGGAACATTTTTTTAAAAGAAATTTTTAAATATTCAAAGAATACTATTGTGAACTCTCATATTCCCATCCTCTTTATTCAGTTTTATTGATTTGGCCTCACTTGTATATCTTCCTCTTTTCTTTGATGAACCCAGATGCCATGTCTTTTTCCATGTGTTTTCAGTTTACTGTGTAAGGCACACATAGTAACCACAGTGCCATTGTCACACCTCACAAAACGAACAGTCACTCTTTATTTGTCAGTGTCTAGTGCCCAGTTCACAGTCAGATTCCCTAAACAAACTAAAAACTTGCAGCTAGTTTGTTCGGATCAGGATGCAGAGTCTGCATATTACATTTGGATGATACATATCTAAAGTCTCTGTTGATCTGGAACAATCCTCCCTCCTTTTTTAAGTTGTCATGTCATTGTTGAAAAAACCATGTTATTTGTCTTAGAGAATGTCCCATGCTCTCAGTTTGTATAGGTATGGAGTTAAGTGTTTCTTCATTCTTCCTTGTATTTCTGTAAACTGGAAATTAGCTCCCACGACGTGATCAGATGCAGGTTCAACTTTTTGACAAGAATGACTGTGGGGGGTGCCGGCTACTTTCAAGAGGGCTTATTTGAAGAGGCACATGTTATCTGAATGTCCCATTCTTTTTTTCTTTTTCTTTTTTTTTCAATATATTTTATTGATTTTTTACAGAGAGGAAGGGAGAGAGATAGAGAGTTAGAAACATCGATGAGAGAGAAACATCGATCAGCTGCCTCCAGCACATCTCCCACAGGGAGATGTGCCCGCAACCCAGGTACATGCCCTTGACCGGAATCGAACCTGGGACCTTTCAGTCCGTAGGCCGACGCTCTATCCACTGAGCCAAACCGGCTTCGGCTCTTTTTTTTTTTTTTTTAATATATTTTATTGATTTTTTACAGAGAGGAAGGGAGAGGGATAGAGAGTTAGAAACATCGATCAGCTGCCTCCTGCAAACCCCCTACTGGGGATGTGCCCACAACCAAGGTGCATGCCCTTGACCGGAATCGAACCTGGGACCCTTGAGTCCACAGGCCGAGGCTCTATCCACTGAGCCAAACCGGTTAGGGCCCATTCTTACTTAAGCTGAAAAGTATAAGGATTCATCTGATGTCTTTTTTTTTAAAAAAAAAAAATATATATATATATTTTTTTTTTTTTAAATATATTTTATTGATTTTTTACAGAGAGGAAGGGAGAGAGATAGAGTTAGAAACATCGATGAGAGAGAAACATCGATCAGCTGCCTCCTGCACATCTCCCACTGGGGATGTGCCCGCAACCCAGGTACATGCCCTTGACCGGAATCGAACCTGGGACCTTTCAGTCTGCAAGCCGACGCTCTATCCACTGAGCCAAACCGGTTTCGGCATCTGATGTCTTCTTTAAAAGGCTCCTCATCAACCTTTCTGCTAATAGTTTTGTTCATTTATGATCATTGCCTACATTATTTCATTAGGGCTGCCAAATGGTGAAATTAATCACTTATTTCACATTTACTACAAAGGATTCTTGAACTAAAAAAGTAGAGCTATCTGCTTGTCTAGAAATACAATTCATAAAGGAAAAGCAGCCTAAATACCTAATTCTTTTTCCTTTATTGTCAGTTTGGGAAGTAAAAAGTTGGTGCTCAGTTACTTCCCATTCGGTTGTTTTAGATTCTTTATTTGCTTATTTTGGATTTCTCTTCCTTCATTGTCATTATAAACTCATCAGTTTATGTAGTCTGTGTGTTTTAATTAACTGCCATAAATTTTACTGATATCAAACTGTGATGTCATGGGCCGGGGGCCTTCATGTGGCTCCAGTGCTGGTGTTTGCCTCCAGCGGTAAAACAAGTTCCCACATTGGCCATGGTGAGTGAGTCCACAGTTGAGTGAGTCACTTGAGAGAACACACTAGAGATTTATTTTCTTAATCTACATTTTCCGGTTTTCCATAAAGCCATCCTCCTATATAATAAAGAGCTAATATGCTAATTAGACTGAACAGCAGAACGACCATCCAGAAGACCTTCCAGACGAAGCCAGGGCTGCAAGGGCCTAGTCCTTTGCACGAATTTCGTGCATCGGGCCTCTGGTTTTTTAATAACTAAGAAGATTCTGGATCAGTGACTAAGCCCTCCTCTTGTTTTGTGTTCCACAGGCCAGGGTCAAGCCCCATCGGACCTTCAGATTTAACGAGTGTGTGTGTACACCCTACAATGCGGATTTTGATGGCGATGAGATGAATCTTCATCTTCCACAAACAGAAGAAGCTAAAGCAGAGGCCCTTGTTCTAATGGGGGTACGTAGAGTGGGGTGGCCCAGCTTACAGCTCCATGAGGGTAGGAAAAGGGATCGGGCCCTGTTGGGAAACACCTTCTAGTGTGTGAGTTGGTGTCTGTGATAGGGGCTTATTGGGGGGAGTTGATGTTTCCTGACCTATAATGTTGGTTCCTGAGAGAAAATGGATATGTGAGCACCATTTATGAAAAGATGAGAGAGCGTAGCAATCAGCTGTTGGGTATCATGGGAAAAGATGGTTCTGCATACATGGATTTTCTAGTAGCTAAAGATTCTTTAAGCACCAATATATTGTATTGAACATTCTGAATGGAACCTTCCCAAAATGTAACAATACTTCTTTGTCTTCTGGAGGGCACACTAAACAGTCGTTTTTGTAATGACTCGTATCACCATTTTATTATTAACGGGTAAGGAGTGCCCATTGGGTGCCAGGGAAGGCCAGTGATGAGTGAGGCCGGTGCCTGGTCCTGAGGAGTCACAGTTGGGCTCTAACTATTGCGCTGTGTGTGCTGTTCGCTCCTGAACCTGCCAGAGCACGTGGTCCAGGTGCCTGCTGGGTAGGCTCTTCCCTCCTAAACTGAATGGTCCTACCTGTTGGGTTTTCAGAACTTAGGTCTTTCTTTTTTCTAGTATCCTAGTTTTCTGTATTATGAACTGATGTATCTTGTAGTCTTAAGTGTTCTTAAGTAAAGGCGATTAGGTTCTGCAAGCAGATCTATTAAATATTAAAGTCCGTGTGGATTTGGTAGGACAGCAAGCAGGGGCTACATTCGTAGCCTTTGCTAGAGTTCTTCATGGCAGGAGTTGACATATCTTTTTGTGTTTTTTAAAATATGTTTTTTATTGATTTTTAGAGAGAGGGGAAGGGAGAGGGATAGATAGAGAGGTAGGAACATCAATGAGAGATAAACATCATTGATTGGCTGCCTCCTGCATGCCCCCTACTGGGGATCAAACCTGCAAACCCAGGCATGTGCCCTGACTGGGAATCGATCCAGCTCAACCATTCAGCCACTCTAGCTAGATGATATATCTTTTCTAATAAATGAAATATTTAATTTATCAGATATTGTTTATACATGTTTAAATTATCCTTTGGAGAATTAAATAATTTTGAGAAATTTATGTGCTAAAATAGACTGAAGTCTTCAACTTTTTTGAAACATTGATTCTTATTTATTCAAACATTTTAGCAAAGTAATGGAAGTTATTTAAATAAGGTAGAGTTTCTACACAACACAGCTTTCTTTATTTCCACCTCTTTAATCAGTTTGTTCCTTATCCATGAATATAGATGGTTGTTGTCATGGTTAAATAGCCTTTCTTTTCCTTTTTTCTGCTTAACGTACTATAAATACCAACTTGCTGTAGAGTCCTCGTGATTGATCATAATGGCTTTACAGCATTTCACCACGTTAGCACACCATGACTCATCTTCCCTCTGGTGTTAAAAATTTAAGGTGCTTTTCTTGTTTTGTTTTGAGAGTTAGACCCTCAAGGGTCATCTTTGTGCATTTAGAGTCTTCTTTTGAATTATTTCTCTGGACTCCTCGGCCTATTAAAAAGATTTAGTTGATGCTGATTGAGCACTACTGTGTGCCAAGCACTCTTCTAGGAACATAGCAGTGAGTGGCGAAGTCAAGTTCTTGCTTTCCTTCCTATTTGAATGGGGAGAGATACAGAATAACAAATATAAAATGTCAGATGGTTATAAGTTCTAGGAAGAAAAGGATCAGGCAGGGTAAGGATGAAAGAGCATGAAGGGGGTCTGTTTTAGGATAGTCTGGGAGGACCACTAGAACAGTAACATGAACCAGGTTCTGAAAGAAGTGGAAGAATGATCAGTGGGTCTGTCAGAGAAAGAATAATTCAAGCAGAAGAGCAGCAGCTGCAAAGGTACAATCACACTTGGGGAAACAAGAACATGGCCTGTTTTCTCCTGTGCCTCAGTGTCTGTAGCAATGGTGATGAGGGCTGTGTTGGGAACTGGTGGTTGATAACGAGAGGACAAGATGGTTGATGGGTGCGTGGTTGGTGGAGGATGGGTAGCCGTGAATGAGTTCTTGTTCTGCGCTCCTATAGTCAAAGGGTGAATAGGTCAGTACAGTCATTCTTCCTGACTGGCACTCTCATTTCTAGGAACCTCTCCAGAGGAAGTAATGAGACTTGCAAATTATTTGCAATCACAGAACACAAGCAGTGCCCAGAAAAGAAATTGGTTTTGTTAAATTGTGTCACATCCATACAATGAAACCCTTTGTGTTCTCTTAAAAATGATGACATTTTTGTATACATAGTTGTATACATAGTTGTTTGATAAGTAGTTGCCTATATGTTTGTAAAAATGTTTATAGCAAAAAGTTGGAGCCGAAACCAGTTTGGCTCAGTGGATGGAGCATTGGCCTGTGGACTCAAGGGTCCCAGGTTCGATTCCGGTCAAGGGCATATACCTGGGTTGCGGGCACATCCCCAGTGGGAGATGTGCAGGAGGCAGCTGATCAATGTTTCTCTCTCATCAATGTTTCTAGCTCTCTATCTCTCTCCCTTCCGCTCTGTAAAAAAATCAATAAAATATATTAAAAAAAAAAAAAAGTTGGAAGGGTTATATGCTAAGTCTTAAAACAGTAGATGCTTTTGCTTGGCAGTTCGACACATTGAGTTTTGATGTTTTTATGGTCTATGTTTTTAGATTTTTTAATAATGGATATAACTTATTTTTATAATTAAAAAGTAATGTTGCCAAAACCGGTTTGGCTCGGTGGATAGAGTGTCAGCCTGCGGACTCAAGGGTCCCAGGTTCAATTCCGGTCAAGGGCATGTACCTGGGTTGTGGGCACATCCCCAGTGGGAGATGTGCAGGAGGCAGCTGATCGATGTTTCTCTCTCATCGATGTTTCTAACTCTCTCTTTTTTTTTTTTTGTTTTTTTTTGTTTTTAACCCTAACCCTAACCCTATCTAACTCTCTATCTCTCTCCCTTCCTCTCTGTAAAATTCAATAAAATATATATTAAAAAAAAAAGTAATGTTACTAGTGATAATAGTTATCAGCCTGCAGCCAGTTAGACTTTGCCATTGACTTTGCTATTATAGATATTTTTGTTAGACATTTTGTTATAACAACATATTTCATTGGTTAAAAATGAAATAACTAAAACGCAGGCTTCAAGAATATTGGGTGGAAGAATCCATAATTACTATTTGGACAAATCCCTCAGTTTCTATGAGAAAGTTGTCTACTGCAGCAGTCGCTAGCCTTTTGGACCTCACGGATCACCAGTGGTCCGTGGACTACCGGTTGGCGACTGCTGATCTACTGCACTGACTCAGCAGTCCTATCTCCTGGAGCAGGTGGGGCTTTAGCTTAAATGTGGCCCAAATTGCCCAGGAAACTTCTCCAAAATGTGCACATATGGGCTTGCGCAACCTACTCCCACCCAGACCACTTGCTGTCCTCCCCAGAGAAATTCTCTTAACCAGAAGTGAGCAGCTGTCTCCTGCCCCCGTGCGGATCACTGCTCTGGGTAGTGGCTCAAAAGAAGGCAGGCAAGGTCTCTCTGCCTTGGAGGGCCTTTCACTGTGGGTGAGGAGGCCCAGAATGCCTGCAAGTCCGCATCAAGAGTTGAGCAGTGCACTCTGACCCAGAACCTTCTATATACCTACCCATTTGTTGGACAACAGCTTCCTTTTTTGCTCAATGTGGCACTCATTGAATTTTAGTTAAATCTTGTTACTGAATTGTTTGTTGATAGAACTTTTTGTCTCAAGAGAAATTGAACAGTTTGCCATCATTGTGAAGAAGTGTGGAATTGATTCACTTCAAAGATGACACAGTACTACTCATTCGTAGAAGTGAATTTCTTTGGAGAAGTGCATTTATTAAAAACAATAAAGTCTTAGATGGCAGAGTTCTTTACAGGAATCTGAAACAACTTAACTCGGTGTTTTACTAATTTAGTGCTGATAGGAACCTCTGAGGTCTGCCTTGTTGGTATTTCTTCTCTCTGCTCTACAGATGAGGAACTGGAAATTAGTGACAAAGCTGGGATTAAGGCCCCTGGCTTTGATTTCTCAGCCTTGGCATGCAGATCTTTGGACTGCATCATGCCTCCAAGGATGGCTAACCTACTGTATCCATTTTTTCCTTCAGACTAAAGCAAATCTTGTAACTCCAAGGAATGGAGAACCACTAATTGCTGCTATTCAGGATTTTCTAACAGGTGGGTTTGTGAAATTCACTTAAAAGGAGACTGTGGAACAATGGTTCTCATTCACAATGGTTTTATATGAGAACTTGCAAAGCTATTTAATTGCCTGTGTTTCAGTCTGTTGTTTGTTTACTAAGTTTAACTGTGAACTTATTTTTGAGATATTTTGTATTGGTTGATTGTTCATTGAATCAACAAGCATTTGTTGAGCTCCTGCATAGACCAAACATGTTTCTAAGCCCTGGGGATACAGCAGTGAGTAAATCAAACTCCTTTTACTCCTGGAGCCTAAATTCTAGCTGGAGGGGGAGAGCCAGTAAGCAGCTGTATGTTTTGTCACTTTTTAAGTAATAGTCCATATTTATTTATTTATTTATTTATTTATTTATTAAATATATGTTTTATTGATTTTTTACAGAGAGGGAGGGAGAGAGACAGAGAGTTAGAAACATCAATGAGAGAGAAACATCGATCAGCTGCCTCCTGCACATCTCCCACTGGGGATATGCCCGCAACCCAGGCACATGCCCTTGACCGGAATCGAACCTGGGACCCTTCAGTCCGCAGGCCGACGCTCTATCCACCGAGCCAAACCGGTTTCGGCCATATTTATTTTTAATATATTTTTATTGATTTCAGAGAGGAAGGGAGAGGGAGAGAGAGATAAAAACATCAGTAGGAGATGCTGGTAGGAATCTCAACTTTAAAATTGAAATGTGATTTTCTCACAGTTTCATTCCTTTATGTGTGTGTGTGTGTGTGTTTAACACTTTTAGGTGCCTATCTCCTTACTCTTAAGGACACTTTCTTTGACCGAGCCAAGGCATGCCAAATCATTGCTTCAATACTGGTGGGCAAGGATGAGAAAATTAAAGTTCGCCTCCCGCCTCCTACAATATTAAAGGTTTGTGCAGGAGCTGTGTGTGTATTACACAGGTGTATGTATGTGTGTGTGTGTGTGTGTGTGTGTGTGTGTATGTACACAGGTGTATGTATGTGTGTGTGTGTGTGTGTGTGTGTCCATCCCCATATGTCCATATGGATGTACCCGTGCCGGTGCTGGGTTTGCATGTGATCGCTGTAGTCTTGTCTTATTTACATGAAAGGTGGTCCAGACCAGGCTTGGCCAGTTGATGCTCTGCCTTCCTTTCCTCCTCCAGCCTGTCACCCTGTGGACAGGAAAGCAGATCTTCAGTGTCATCCTCAGACCTAGTGATGACAATCCAGTGAGGGCCAACCTTCGAACCAAGGGCAAGCAGTACTGTGGCAAAGGAGAAGACCTCTGTGTCAATGATTCCTGTGAGTTAAAGCAAACGGGGGGGGGGGGGGGGGGGGGGGGTCAGAAAAGTAAATGCAGTGTTTCTCTAAGGTCTTAGCCTGAGGCAGGAAATTTGTTCTTCAGGGAAATGTAGCTGATGATTCTCCTTTCAGATGTGATTTTCTTGTTTTTTTTTAATATGTTTTTACTGATTTCAGAGAGGAAGGGAGAGGGGGAGAGAGAGAGAGAGAGAGAAACTTCAGTGATGAGAGAGAATCATTGATTGGCTGCCTCCTGCATACTCCTCACTGGGGATCGAGCCCGCAACCTGGGCATGTGCCCTACTGGGAATTGAACCGTGACCTCCTGGTTTACAGGTCAGTGCTCAACCACTGAGCCACACTGGCCGGGCTCAGATGTGATTTTCTATTTCTCTAAGGTAGAGATCCTAAGGTATTTCTCTAAGGTAGACACATGGGCCAGTGATTAGAATGTTTTTCACCACGTGCATTTTGTCTTGACTGGTTTCTGCCTTTTTTTTTTTTTTTTAAATATATTTTATTGATTTTTTACAGAGAGGAAGGGAGAGAGACAGAGAGTTAGAAACATCGATGAGAGAGAAACATCGATCAGCTGCCTCCTGCACATCTCCTACTGGAGATGTGCCCGCAACCCAGGTACATGCCCCTGACCGGAATCGAACCTGGGACCCTTTAGTCCGCAAGCCGACGCTCTATCCACTGAGCCAAACCGGTTTCGTCTGCCTTTTTTTTTTTAATTGTTTTATTGCTTAAAGTATTACAAAGGGTATTACATATGTCTTCTTTTTTCCCCTGCCCTTGACAATCCCCTGGCTCTACCCCCAGTGTCTTATATCCATTGGTTATGCTTGTATGCATGCATACAAGTCCTTTGGTTGATCTCTTACGCCCCGCTCCTGCCCCCCCACCCTCCCCTTTTTGTCTTAATTAAATTTATTGAGCTGACATTGAGCTGTCATTTAATGCAATTTCTTTTATTCTGCCTCTTGTTTTTTTGAGTTGTTTTTTTTTTGTTTTTTTCATCAACCAGAGTCTCATTACTTAAGCCATCTAATTTCTTATTTTATGTCCAAAAAATGTGTTCATTGACACTAAAAGTATGACTAAAACGTATAACAAAAAAATACGAAGTGTTTTCCCTGCCTCACCTGGTTAGTGAATATTCTGATAACGTGAGGAACAAATGTTAACAGTGAGATTTATTTAAGTGCAAGCCAACTGAGTCATGTAGACGAATGCAGCTCAAAGTTTGGTCTACAGACCAGTGCCATCGAGCCAGTTTTTCCTTTCTGGCATGAGCTCCTTAGTTTATCTTAGGCTGCTAACAAGAATGGGCTTTGTGCCCTGACCAGTTTGGCTCAGTGGATAAAGCGTCGGCCTGCGGACTGAAGGGTCCTAGGTTCGATTCCAGTCAAGGTCATGTACCTTGGTTGCGGGCACATCCCCAGTAGTGGGTGTGCAGGAGGCAACTGATTGATGTTTCTCTCTTATTGATGTTTCTCTCTCATTGATATTTCTAACTCTCTATCCCTCTCCCTTCCTCTCTGTAAAAATCAATAAAATATATTAAAAATAAAAAAGAATGGGCTTTGTAGCAAGGCCTTGTGACAGGAAATGGATCTATAGGGCTCTGTGGAGTCTCTCTGAAGGTCAAGGTTTCTGCTGTCTTGTAATGAAGGTGAAATGTTTTGTAGAGCATTGGTTTTTCTCAGATTTAAAATCATTACTTTGAAAATATGCTCCCAGGATTTTTAGATATTTTGGCTTGTTGTTTTATTTTGGTTTTTATTATTTTTTAAAGCATCATGGTATTTATTTATTTATTTATTTATTTATTTATTTATTTATTTATTTTAATCCTCACCCGAAGATATTTTTTCATTGATTTTGTTTAGAGAGTAGAATGGATGGGGAGAGACACAGAGAGAAACATTGATGTTAGAGAGACACATTGATTGGTTGCCCCCTCCCCCCCCCCCCCCCCCCCAGGGCTGGGGATCGAGCCTGCCATTTAATGCAATTTCTTTTATTCTGCCTCTTTTGTTTATTGGGTATGTACCCTTGACCCGAATCAAACCTGGGACCCTTCAGTCTGTGGGCCGACGCTCTATCCACTGAGCAAAACCAGCTAGGGCTAGCTTGATGTTTTAGATTGTGTTTTGTTTATTTCTAGATGAGAATTTCACTTCTTATGGTTACATAAGCTCTTCACAATGGTGCCCCTGTTAGTTTCCAATATCTTAGACCTGTGGTTGGCAAACTGCGGCCCCTTGAGTGTGGCTCTTCCACAAAATACCACGTGCGGGCGCACACATACAGTGCGATTGAAACTTCGTGGCCACGCTCAAGGGGCCAAAGAGCCGCGTGTGGCTCGCGAGCCGCAGTTTGCCGACCACTGTCTTAGACGAACAACACAGTGCTCTACACTTTGGTTAAAAGAACTTTGCTATACACGATGTCATTGATGCCCAAAATATCCCCGTGACATAGAGATGGCAAGTGCTTGATGTTGTCTTTCACAGTTCACAGATGAAGAGAATGAGGGCTAACTAGTACATTTCAGAGTTAGGACTATAAGGTAACTAATTGGGCCTTTAATGCTTCTTAAAAGACACTAGATTCCTCTTTTTGAGGAGAATTTCCATTTGATCTGCTTTAACTTTAAATATGGAAACAAGTTTTCTCAACTACCTCCAATGCTTTTTGGAATGAAGAAAGGTGTATTAATTTCCTGTTTAAATGTATAGTCACTGTTATCCTTGCAGATGTCACTATCCAGAACAGTGAGCTGATGAGTGGCAGCATGGACAAAGGAACACTGGGATCAGGATCCAAGAACAATATTTTTTACATTTTGCTGCGAGACTGGGGACAGAATGAAGCTGCTGATGCCATGTCAAGGCTTGCCAGGCTGGCTCCTGTCTACCTCTGTGAGTATCTCAGCATCCTCGTTTTAATGCCATATTTTCTGGGTCTTAGGGGTTTCTTCTGCTATTGTTTCATCCCCCTTCTTACCCCACACACATATACATATCTATTCCAAGCTAAACATTATGCTTTCCTCAGTGAAATGAGTGTGATACTAATTGGGCTGCAAATTTGCGTTGCTTTTCAGTCTCATCTCAAATCTATAAGGGCTCCCTGTTGCCTACCAGGTAGGATTGTGTTACATAAAGAGCCTTTTGTGGGCTGCTTCCAAGGTTCCTGTGCACTCACTGTACCCTCTGGGCCTTCCATGATTCAGCCCTACCAGATTTCTCAGTATTTCCCTCCTACCCTGGCACTGTTCTATTTCCTGTGTTTGCTCATGTTTTGAGCTTGCCATGAGTCAGGATATCTTTACTGCCCCCAAACATCTTTAGTCTACTCTTAACTTGATTGATTCATTGGCTGGGTATAGAATTGTCAATTGAAAATTATTTAACCTTAGAATTCTGAGGATATTGCTTTATTCTGTTCTAGCTGCCAGCATTGCTATTAAAGTGTATTTCCATTCTTATACCCAAATTTTTGTATTGCATTGTCTTTTTATCCTGGAAACTTTAAGAATCCTCTCTTTGGTTTTGGCATTCTGAAAGTTCACAATGGTACAACTTTGGTATGGGTATTTTATCATTCATTGTGCTGAGCACTCTGTAAATTCTCTTAATCTACAATTATTTGTCCTTCAGTTCTGGAAATTTGTATTACTGGAGGCCCGATGCATGAAATTTGTGCAAGGGGCTCAGCCCTCACAGCCCTGGCTTCATCCAGAAGGTCATCTGGAAGGATGTCCAGAAGGTCGTTCAGCTGTCCGGTCTAATTAGCATATTACACTTTATTATTATAGATTTTTCTGATAATATTCTCTCCTTTACTTCCTCGTTCTTTCTTTTTGGCATTTCTATTAATTGCCTACTAGAGCTCCTGGATTGACTCTCTCTCTGATTTAATCTTCTTTTCCTTGTTTATGTTTTGTTTCTGATTTCATATAATCTTTTAACAATCCTATTGATTTAAACATATTTTTCACTATCATATTATTTAATTTCCAACCTCTGTTTTTATCCTCAGGTAGTTCTTTCCTTTTTCTTTTTTTTTTCTTTTTTTTAAATATGTTTTTATTGATTTTTTTTGTTTGTTTTTTGTTTTTTTAGAGAGAGAGAAAGGGAGAGAAATAGAGAGATAGGAACATTGATGAGAGAGAAACATCATTGATTAGCTACCTCCTGCATGCCTCCTACTGGGGATCGAGACCACAACCCTGGCATGTACCCTGGCATATGCCCTGACCAGGAATCGAACCAGTGGCCTCTTAATTCCTGGACTGATGCTCAACCACTGAGCTATACTGGCCAGGCTCCTTTTTTCTTAAGGCTTCCTTTTCTTTTTTTTTTAATCCTCACTTGAGGATATTTTTTCCATTGCTTTTTAGAGAGAGTGGAACGGAGAGGGAGAGACAGAGAGAAACACCGATGTGAGAGAGAAACATCAATTGATTGCCTCTGGCATGTCCCCAACCAGGGCCAGGAGCCTGCAACCAAGGAACGGGCCCTTGACCAGACTCGAACCCGGGACCCTTCAATCTGCAGACTGATGCTCTATCCATTGAGCCAAACAGGCTAGGGCAAGGCTTCCTATTCTTGCTCCCCAGATATATCCTCTCTATCACTGTGAGAGAAAATTACTCAGTTTTATTTTATTTGCTCCCTAAATATTCTTTTAGTTTCTTTTTTCTGTGTGTTTGTTGTCCTGTCTTTCATGGTAATGAGGTTCCTCAAATATCTGGTTCCCTGGCTGTCATTCATACTTTATGAGTGAGGCACAAAACCACTGATTGGAAATGGAGCTGGTTGGCTGGTAGATCTCTCAGTTTATCAGTTGAGCTGGAAACCAGCTTTTTGGTTGAGGAACTGCCCAGTATCCCTATTAGTCATGTTTTCCTCCAGAGAGACTTGGTTTCTCCAGGGACGTCTTTCAATCTGAACCTCCTTCCCTAGGATGGAGACCTGGCTGCTGGGATTCTGGGAGCTGGACAGGGAAAGGGGCTAAGGAACCTTCGTCGTGGAATATGAAGACCTTTCCTCAGTGTTGGTCATCCCCACCTGTCTACACCTTGTATTTCCCAACCCAGACTCTCTCTACTTGCATTTTTTTGGGTAGTAAACTCCCATCTTCCACAGGGACAAGGCCCTGGGCCTGTTTTATGTGCAGACTTGACACTGGGTTTCTCTGTTTACAACACATATACCAGCTCTAGCATCTGCAGGGCCTGGTGATCTAGTTTCTGAGCCTTTCCATTGGTCCTCATTTCCATAAGCCACTTGTAGGCATCTTACTCCCGACCTCTCATCTGCTCACTGTCTACATCTATTGGGGCTAGGGTGATTGATGGTGCATAGTTCTGTCAAGGTGGGGTTTACATTTGTTTCTTGCTCTCTGTGTTTTGGGATGGTTTCTGAAAAAAGAAACCAGTATTTGGGGGCGTGGGCAAAATCTAAGTCCCTACGATGCTATCCGAGAACCAGAAGTCAGAGGGCACTTTCCCTAGGCAGGTGGGACATGCCATGCTCCCCACTCGAGAGAAGTGAGTCTTAGTCCAGATTGTGTCCTCCCTAGGGACTGATACAGTAAGCTTTTTGTTTGCTTCTTTGATACAGTAAGTTTTAATGTAATTTAATTATGACAGATTCTCTGAAGGTATAAACTTGTTTCCACATAGTAGTTTGACTAACATCCATCTCTTAACCCTCTCTTCTTGCTTTACCTATCAACTATTCCACAGCAAACCGTGGATTCTCAATTGGGATTGGTGACGTCACACCTGGTCAAGGGCTGCTAAAGGCCAAGAATGAGTTGCTGAACGCTGGCTACAAAAAATGTGATGAGTACATCGAAGCCCTAAACACGGGCAAGCTGCAGCAGCAGCCTGGCTGCACTGCGGAGGAGACGCTGGAGGTGAGTCTGGCTCTTCGGGCGATCAGTTCCGTCTCTTTGTGCTCCTGGGATGTGCTGTCAGCCATAGAGAGAAGGTAGCAGAGGGGAGAAGGTAGTAGAGGGGAGAGGGAAGCAGAGGCAGTGACTCAGCCTCATCTTGGCCCTGTGCTGCTTGTGTGTGTTCAATGAGGGTAGAGCCTTCAGTCAGGCCACTTAATCCTGCTCAGCTGTCACATTCTAGGTGGTGAAGACACAGCCCTGTCTGTTCATTTGGCTACCCGGGCTGCTTGTGTTCAGACATCACACTTGGCCCTTCTGGAGCTGGTAAAGTGCTTCTGCCCTGTTCCCCACATTTTTCGCCTAGAGCAGGGGTTCTCAACCTGTGGGTTGCGACCCCTTTGGCGGTCCAACGACCCTTTCACAGGGGTCGCCTAATACCATCCTGCATATCAGATATTTACATAACGATTCATAGCAGTAGCAACATTACAGTTATGAAGTAGCAATGAAAATAATTTTATGGTTGGGTCACAACATGATGAACTGTATTTAAAGGGCCGGAAGGTTGAGAACCACTGGCCTAGAGGCTGGCACTGCCACTGTTTAAATGGATGGTCTTTGAAAGAGACTTGGGTATAGAAGATGGAAAATTATATCAAGAGTCATGTACCAGAGTGCTGCCCCTCTGCCTGCCCCCCTTGGAAACTAGGATAGCTGAGAACAGGACCAGCACATGTCAGAGTCAGAATCGCAGCCATCCTTTGAGAGCCCTACGTGTTCTCTGAAGCAGCCTGGTCAGCAGTCTGTCTCAGCGGGGTTTGCCTGGCTCTCCAGAGGAAAGGCTCTTTAAGCAGTAAGTTTTCTGATGAAGTGAATTTTTAAAGCAGGGCTGTGTGAGGTAGTCACCCTTACTATTACTACCTCAGTCTTAAGCTCACTTAAGTCTTAAAGAGGGAGTAGTGGGGAGAAATGGAAGGTTCTCATCTAGAGAATTGAGGCCGCAGCAGCACTCACTTTTACTGGAACCGTGACCCTAAGTGACTCAGCCTCCTGAGTTGGGAGTTGAGGAAGGACAGTGTGGATGAGCTGGAGGACTAGAGCATTCCTGGAGAGTCACCTCATCGCACGGTTCACTGTGGGAGTTCAAATGTGTTCTTGGCAAGAAAAACTAGACACATTTTATAAATAGTACAGGCATTGTCTTCCACTGTGCACATTTCCTCAGGCATGTGTGTGCATAGCGATAGACTTGCTGATATGTGTCGTGTGGTTCTGTGCACACAGCCACGCGCATTCTCCTTACTGCCAATGAAAGGGTTGCTCGGGGTTTTGTTACTAATCATCCTTACCTAACACACTGATTTGGAACCTTGTGGAAGCTGTTGGTCTGTACATATAGGGCATCCTGGTCTTCCAAGGCTCTGAAACCTCTATCTTTTGGAAATCTGACATCTTAAATTTTTTCAAATTTCCTTAAATTGTACATTTGTAATCAGCAGAGCCAGTGAGGGTGACTCCCACACCTCCCTTTCTCCCACCAGGCTCTGATCCTGAAGGAGCTGTCGGTGATCCGAGACCATGCGGGCAGCGCCTGCCTCCGGGAGCTGGACAAGAGCAACAGTCCCCTCACCATGGCTCTGTGCGGCTCCAAAGGTGAGTGCTCTGGCCATTGCCATCATTGTGTTGTCCATATGGACTGGCTGGTTCTGTTCTGGAAAATGTAGGAATCATAACTTCAAACAGACCTTTTGTTTATAAAGGCATATCTTTTTAAATCAGATTCACTCATATGTTGTTTTTAAAAACAAAAAGAAATCAATTGTATTTTCGATCCACAGTTGGGAATCCACGTATGTGAGGGCTGACTTCAGGTACGTGTGGATTTTTGACTGCAGGCAGCTGATGCCCCTCACCCTCACGTTATTCAGGGATCAGCTGTATATAGAAAAAGAACTATTTGCATTTTGAGGAGTTTAATATTCTAGAGGAACTTCTTGGTAATGTGTGTGGGTTTCTGAGTTTGAGGATGTTTTGAGCAACTTTAAAACAACTTTTAAAAAATAATATATATAGTATTTAGTGATGAAGCAAAATGCTTTTAATTTCACACCTACCCAGGACCTTAAAACATTAGATTTCATGATACTGTGCGCAAATTCAAAACCTCCATGCTTCCTCTATTTCTGAAAATATTTTACAGATAAAGTTCAAAGTCTTTAACTTTGCTGCCTTTCACCCCAGTATTCTACTTTTTGCTCCTTGCACTTGCCCCACCCTTTCCCATCCCTGTGTCTTTGCTTCCCACCCCCCCTGCCCCCACTTTGGAATTCCTCCCCCATCCGTTTTAAGTCTGAGTTGTCATGTCCTCCAGAAGTCTAACCTGGCTGCTCTTGAAGAGGCACCTGAAGTCTTGCCTCCAACCCAGACGTGCCCGCTGCTCCCGAGCGCCTGTAGCCCTCGCCCGGCCTCCCCTGTTCCTGAGCTCCCCCCTAGGCTGTGACCTTACTGTGGGGAAGGGGCTGGGCTGCACTGCTTCGTGTTTTATTTCAAGGATCTGCTCGCACTTCAGTTAGTGTTATTTCAGTAATGATGTTACATTCCTGACCTGCTTCCCCAGGTTCCTTCATTAACATATCACAGATGATTGCCTGTGTGGGACAGCAAGCCATCAGTGGCTCCCGGGTGCCAGATGGCTTTGAAAACAGGTCCTTGCCTCACTTTGAAAAACACTCAAAGGTAAGCAGTGGAGGGTCAGGCAGAACTTTAAGGACAACCATCTGTAGTGCAGAAAAGAGTAACTGAAGCTCTGCAGCTGCCAACCAACATACAAGTGGCGTACAAGGGCGGGCCCTGCTCAGGGTCCTTATTGCCTCTTTAACCCAACCAACTCGCGTAGAAGGAGCCTTGTTAACTCAGAACTGTAACACGTGGACAATGCCCCCTTTGAAGTTTCTCTCCGAGGAGGAGGCTTTCAGGTTCCCATCCAGCTTAAGTAATCAAAATGAATATATATATATATATATGTTCAATCTGTTTGCTTATTTGGGGGAGATTTACATAAAAGTATAAGGATTTTTAAATAGTATAAACCACACTAAAACCGACCAAGAAATTTCAGGTTCTCTCTCTGGAATTCTCAAACTCAGCTCTTAAATGTCTTCTGAATTCTATTAGCCTGTGGTTTGGGCGCTAATGTAAGCAGAGAGAGGCAAACCTGTGCTGAGGTTCTGGGATTCAGGGGCAGCAGCTGTTAAACCTGTAGTTCCAAAACTTAAAGAAGACTTGGTCCCTCAGTAAATTCTGGGTGTGGAGTCCAACAGCTCCTGCCGCTTGGAACTGCAGTATTTCTGTTCAGCCCTCCTAGGCAGACAGCACTGCTGTCCTGAGATGTATGGAGTCTCTGCACCAGGTAGCCCCAGGAACAATGCAGGTCCTCTGCCCCAGGTCAGAATTCACCAGAGGTCAGGCAGATAAGTGATCGCTGGAATGGCACCTGCCTGTGTGTGTCAGGCTCAGAGTTGTAGGGCAGCTGACTAATTGGGAGGAGAGGCCAGGGCATCCAGACTTCTCGGCCCCTGGGCCAGTGCTAGATTAGACTTCGGGAAGTCTGCTTGCCTAGAAATGTCTCTGAGTCCACCAGCTGCCCCTTAAACACCATAAGGAAGTGGGAGATTGGTCTGTTCATCTCAGTTGTCCTCTAAGGAACATAGACCTATCCAGACCAAAGGCTATTTGGCCATTTCACATGGTGTTTTACACACGTGTGTATTTTAACAGTGTCACTGAAATACATTGTGTATGTCATAGTCACCCATTCAAAGTGTACAGCTCAGTGACTTAGTAAGTATATTCACATAATTGTGTGATCACCCCCATCATCTAATTTTAGGACATTTTCAGCACCCCAAGTGAGCCCCATAAACATCAGCAGCCCATGGTTGTGTTCTGGAGGTAGACAGCCTGGCCCAGGAAGGTGTCTTTAAGGGCGTCATCATTTCCCAGGGAACGGGCCGGCTGCGGCAGTCAGAGAGTGCCCTCCGAGGTCCTTGGCTGCCCGCCTGCTCCATGGATGGCAGCCCGGGCTTTGGTTTCCTCTCCTGAGCCACTTGCCTGCCACTGGCACCAGCACCGGCCCTGGCTGGGACCTCACCCTCCTTGTCTCTGGGAAGGATGGGTTGTGCCAAATTATTTCTCGTTTAGGGAAGGGTATGCAAAGCCCGCCACTTCAAGAGAGTGCAGTGGCCAGGGATTTCTAGCTGGAAGGTGTAGCATTTTCTGATGTGAATGGGGTTTGGAATGGACCCTGAACTTTTTTTTGTTTGATTTTTCTTTTTTTTTTCTACCTCTCTTTAGCTCCCAGCTGCCAAAGGCTTTGTGGCTAATAGCTTTTATTCTGGTTTGACACCAACTGAGTTTTTCTTCCACACAATGGCTGGCCGGGAAGGTCTAGTCGACACGGCCGTAAAGACAGCTGAAACGGGATACATGCAGGTAATTGAAGAAATGTAGGCCATTAACAACAGAGTAGGACAGAGCTCTGTGGACTTTGACTGCTGAGTGTTTACATATTTTGTACACGAGCTAAAATATACCCCGTCTTGGTAATAAAAAGGGAAAATTAAGAAATGTAGAAGAAATTGAACAACAAAAAAGGCTAATGTTAATGTTCCAAATCCTGGGCACCTCAAATGATCAAGACCAGGCCAGAGCCACACTTTTCAAGGCTCTCTGGGAGGAGAATGTGCATCCTGGGACATAACGATGGAACCTCACTGAGCCTGTTTCCTAACGCACACAAGTGGGCGTGGCAGGGCATCCCTCCTGTCTGCTGAGAGGACTCTACTTCACTTTGCAGCTATTTAAGTAACATTATTAGTATCATTCTAATGGGCTCCAGGAATCTATTTTGGCATTTTGGTGCCCGCAGGGGAGCTGGGAGGGAAGGCTCTCCACTGTGTGTACAGTAGGATAACAGATCCAGGGGGTTAATTTAAACTAGAAGGTTTCCTGTGCCTGTGCTTCTCAGACTTCCCTCTGCCCCTGCTGCAGAGGAGTGGAAACACATTCCTGCCTTGTTCTTCCGTAGAGTGAAGAAAGAAGAAAAATCCTTAGCAAGGGATTTTGTTTTGTTTGTTTTTTTCCGGTCTAATTTTCATTTCTTCTCTGTACTCCATAATATATGTTTGTATGTTTAATTTTAATGCTTTTACCTATTACAACACCAAGTTGCTGGACCATGAACTCCTGTAGCTTTGTGTCCTCTGTCTCCCCACTGGATACCAGTCTGAGAAGCATGGCCGTTTGCAGACTGGCAACCAGGGCTGCTAATCCAGAGATGTGAACGAGTGGGCCAGACAAACAGGGCCGCTGAGGGTGAAATCGACTCCAGCCAGTAGACACCTGCTTCTGTACCCTCTTCTGTGCCTCGTGTGGTGTGTCATTACTGATACTTCCCTTTTAATCATCTTTTGATGGGAAATTGCCCTTCAGTTTAGGAGTGTGCTGCTTTTGTCAAAAGCCCAAGGACTGAAATGCTTTTACCACTCTTGCCAGATGTCTTTTGATTTTATTTTCTCTCTTTACCTTTTGGAGTAGAATATGGATTTCCCAGAGCAGTGTGTTAACCTAGAACAAATTGGTTCTGGCATGAGGGGTTTTTGTTTGTTTTGAAGTTGCCTGGAGGAAGAGTTCTGTCTCCCTAATGCACGGAGCCACCGTCACATTGCTGCTGCAGTGGTTTCTGCTGGGGGAAGGTGTTCCACAGGCAGATTTGAGAAATGGCTGCTGCCTGCTGGGTCAGACACAATGCTGGCCCTGTTCTCCTGCCCCTGTCCCAGAAGAGGGTCTGTACCCGATCCTCTGTAATTCATATTGAAGTCCACGGGGGTCCGAGATTAAGTTGTGTTTAGAAATGCAGAGCTGTTGCATTAATTTATACCTTAGGGAGAAAGAGAGGAGGCACAGCAGGTTAGGAAAACAGTGTTTGCATAGTCCTTCAGGGTAGATGGGGTTTACATTGCAGGTATTCTAAAACACACTAAAGTGCTGGAGGTTGGGCATATTCTAAATCCCTCTGGACAGGTTAGAGAGGCACTCTTGGCCTCATTTTGGGGTTAGGGGAATCTTTTTAAGGGATTTCTTATAAAATGTTTTTATGTGATTAAAGGGCTAGTAACCTTGAAACTTACAGTTGGAAATCTTATCCTCTGCACATGTGACTGGTCTTTGTTTTCTGTTTTGTTCCCTTTAGAGAAGGCTTGTGAAGTCCCTTGAAGATCTTTGTTCACAGTATGATTTGACAGTCCGAAGCTCTACGGGAGATATTATACAGTTCATTTACGGGGGAGATGGCTTAGATCCCGCAGCTATGGAGGGAAAGGATGAGCCCTTGGAGTTTAAAAGGGTTCTGGACAACATCAAAGTAAGATTTAGTATTATATCTGGGGTTGGAGTGTTCTTTAGAATGGAGGTGCCCTTTGGAAAATCACACACAGTTTAATGCTCAGTCATATCTACCCAACTACTGGCTTAGTATTTTCCTTTTGTGTTACTCTGAATAAGTTTTCCAATATTAAAGGAAAATATTTTCTCAATTTCAAAGTCTAGTGTTAGTCGTCAAATGCCAACAGAAGAGGGCTTTGGTTTCTATGTAACAGGCCAGTGTTATAAGTCATGGGTGTGAAAAGCAATTACATTTCACATAATTTAGAACAGCCTTTTTGGAAGGTGGTTTGACAGTACTGATCTGAATGAAAATGTGGGTGCCTTCTGCTCCCATAGTTCCTCATAGAGGAACCAGCCCTGCAGAACTGATCTAAGAGTGCCGAGGTGTTTTCCAGCACTGTTTGTGGTAGGGGCAGACCATCAGTGGAGGAGAGTTCAGATGCATAGTGGTCTGCCTGTGCGTTAGGATGACATGTAGCCCTTAAATCTTTGGGGAAATGCTTTGAGCTTGAGGGTGGAGGAATATTTTCACTCTTAAAATATTTGGGATTTTTTTAAAACAACAATTTGTATTTTTAATGCAAATCTGGGTTGGGGCAAAGTTTGGGAGCAATGTGACAATACCCAGAAGTCTTTGTGTAAGTGGAGTGTCAGTTTACCGTTTCCACCTTCATATTAAAGGTAGGATCTAAAACTTGTTTTGAAGGAGAAAAACATCACAGGTTGCTAGAAGATCCCTCTAAGTATCCTGTCTCTTGTAGCTTCTTTCATTTAATATTGCCCCCTTCTCCATTGCGCCCGCCACCTCATACTGTGTCCTTTAACACTTGAGGCAGTCTTCCCGTGTCAGAGCGAGCCTGCACTCAGTAAAAACGAACTGGTTCTGAGCACCGAGTCGATCATGAAGAAGCACGAGTTCCTCTGCTGCCAGGACAGCTTCCTGCAGGTAAGCTCCGGTGCTGGTCGCCCCACCTGCTGCACCAGACAGTGGTGGCCACTGGGGAATGTCATGAGCTGGGGGGGGGGGGTTGTGTAAGAGTGTTTCTTTGTTTAAAAAGTTAAAGAATTGCTGAGGCAAAATCTCTGCAGCCAATGTGAAGAATTTGTCTCATGTCTTTCTTAGTTTGTGGCTTTTACACAAGTGTTTTCCTATTTGAAGGAAAATGCTTTAGCTAGAGAACTGATTGTGTGTAACCGTACCCGTCAACACCCTGCAATCCCCTCCTGTGGACCAGCTCTTCCTTGTTCATTCTGAATCCCAATCATTTGTGTTGGTAGTGGGGCTGTCTCAGTATCCTCTTAAATCACTTTCTCCTACTACGGTATGGATCAGGGATCCATGGAGTCTGCCCTCCTTTTTCTTCAGGAGAGCTGGTACCTGGGCACACTCTTAAAGGTCTTTTTGTTTGTTTTTGTTTTTTTAATGTCACTGACCCATTTAAGCAGCTCCTTTCTCTTTATGTGGTGATGACCCAAAGCAAAGGGATGCAGGAACCGATCGTTTGCTGTTTGTACTGATTGGTTATTCAAATGCAGCAAAAAATCAGCAGTATATCAAAAATAAAACCCATGCCCAGCTGGTGTGGCTCAGTAGTTGAGCGTCACACTATGAACCAGGAGGTCATGGTTCATTTCCAGGTCAGGGCACATGCCTAGGTTGCGCACTCAATCCCCAGTAGGGGGCGTGCAGGAGGCAGCCAAACAATGATTCTCGTCATTGATGTTTCTATCTCTCTCCTTCTCCCTTCCTCTCTCTGAAATCAGTAAAAATATATTTAAAACATTTTGAAAAGCCACAGAGTGAAAGTGCAAGGATGCTTTCAGTTAAGGAAGCTTCACTTCTTCCTTTCATGTGTTGAGGAGTGAACGGTGAAAAAGAACCTTACAGAATTTAATATGTTTAAAACAAGAGTATGGCTAGGCCTGGTGCCTTTGTTTTAATTTTTTTTCTGTAGATTTTTTTTAATTAACAAGTTAGAGTTGTGATTTTGTTTTTCTACATCATTATATTTACTTATATATTTCTCTGTTTATCCCTGAAGACCTTAACTGAGACAGGCTATGAGAAGTATAACGAGGTAACGCACTTGGCATGCTGCGACTGCTGAGCATAAAGGGGTGAAGCCGAGCAGCACTCGGCCGCTTGCCAGCACTGGAGATGACAGCCCTTCATCCAGGGCTGGCAAGCAGGCCTCCCTGTGCGTCACTTTGGACGGCCCCTTGCTTGTCTTTGACAAGGGTTAATGGGTGACCTCTGACCTCGGTGTTTATTTAGCCAGTGAGCAGCACTGTGTCACACACTGCAGGTCTTGGGAACACAAAGATCACTAAACATGTCTTTGCCCTTCAGTGGCTCACAATCTGGTGAACTCAATTTTGCCAAGAGGGTTCAAAATCCACTGGCCAGACAGATTTGTCTGCGCCTCTGAGATGTGTCCTGGCCCTCGCCTGTGCTGGCACTCGCCTTGCCAGAGCTGAGGCAGCGGAGGCGGCTCCTGAGTGGCATTGAGCCCTGGCCCTGCCAGAGGCTGGTGCCCCTGCTCACAGACTACTGTGGCGTGAGTGTGAGAACTTAACTGCTGGTTAATCGTGTGATTAATCGCCTGTCATTTGCCGTGTTGTGAGTTCCCTGTAGTATGCATGGGTTGATTCAGCTGAATTCTTAGTAGCTTATTTCAGTTTTCATTTCTGCAAAATGATTTTTTTTTTAACCTCCAGAATGTCTAACTTTTGTGTAAGAAAAGTCATTTCAGCAAAGCCGCTGGAAGCGGGTCCCTGTGGGTGGCCGGCCGCTAAAGGTCCGTTTCCAGTGCCTGAGCTGGGAGTGGTTTTAGGTGTGTCCTCTACTGTGTGTGCAGAGTTCCTCCAGATGACAGTGCCCGGTCTTCCCAGGGACAGGCTCTCTTTCCAGTTTCCCTGCACCTGCAGGTGGGGCACTTTTAACACCTGGCGACAAATGGCAGCATCTGAGCCAAGAGGGCTCTCAGGAGCTTGCCCTAAAGCAGTGGTCGGCAAACTCATTAGTCAACAGAGCCAAATATCAACAGTACAACGATTGAAATTTCTTTTGAGAGCCAAATTTTTTAAACTTAAACTATATAGGTAGGTACATTGTTATTAACTTAATTAGGGTATTCCTAAGGCTTAGGAAGAGCCACACTCAAGGGGCCAAAGAGCCACATGTGGCTCGCGAGCCGCAGTTTGCCGACCATGGCGCCTAAAGGATATGGCAGCGGCTAGACAAGAAGGTGGGGAGGAACCAGCAATGTGGAAGAGGCTCTTTCCACGGATAACACAGAGGAAAAGTGCAGCGGCACAGGGCGTGCTGCCTTTGAATATTCCGTTAGGCAGAGTCACACCAGGGGTGAGGGCTACTGCGTGGTGGGTGCTGTCGGCTCATTTGAGAAGTGCTCTGCGTCAGTCCCATCAAGTGTGACCCCCCTGGGAGCAGCACTCTGAAGGGGGCAGTTTGTTACAGTGCAGCACACCCCTCCGCAAGCACACGCGAGAGGAGGTGCCGGCTGGTCCTGGTTCTGGACTGACCGTGAAGCTGGGTTTATTTCACAGACACACTGTCAGCTGTAAAACAGATGGGCTTTTTCCCCTTTGAGGGTTGCTAGAAAACTGCTGCAGGTCTGTAGTCTCCAGTGCTGCCTCCTCATGATGTACTTCTCACCTTCCTTGCTCCATTTTGTCAACATCCTTTTTTGTTTTTTATCCTTTGGGAGTACTGTTCTCAAATACAGCAGGAATAGCAAATATACTGAAGTTTCAATTCTAGCTGAGACCGGTTTCCAGGAACCCTTCCAAATGTCTGCTTGTGTGGGAAGGGAGCAGGAGACTGGGGGTGAGGCCGAGGTGAGAGTAAGAGGAGGTGAAGCGGAGTGTGGGGTGCTTCCTTTGAAATGTACATAATGTCTGCAAAGCTGTGCTTTAGCTTGTTAGTTTTTAAATGGATCATAAGGACTTCAGGAGAAAATCTACAGTCAATCAGGCTAGAGACTAAGTCTAACAGTGCACTTCTGCCTGCTCTGAGCTGTGTAAATGGAGGCAGTGTGTATGCCAGGAGAGCAAAGGGAGAGCGGAAGGTGAGAAGGCTTTCCTAGTGTAAGGGCGACATGGCAGGGCCAGGAAAGTGGCCGGTGTGGCCTTTGCTGAAGCATCATTGGAGAAAAAAGGCCCTAGAAACATCTGAACCAGTGAGCCCTGTGTCCAGGGTGTGGATGATTGGGTGTATCCCTTGGGGAAACATTTTGTAGTAGGAACTTTATCTGTGTTGTACCCCTTAAAGTATACATTTAGCTGTTAACTATTTTAGTGATATGATGAGCTTGCATAGTACTGAAGTTTATAAAACACATCATATCATCTGAATTACTGATATTTGCTGTGTAATCATTCAGGAAATAAAGAACTTCATTAAGGGGGTTTCTGAGAAGATCAAGAAAACCAGAGATAAATATGGCATCAACGATAACGGCACAACAGAGGTAAGTGGCCTTTCCCGGGTGGAAGGGTGGACACTCGGGTATTTTCAGGTACCAGCCCTAACTCTGCACTTGGTTTTGTTCTTCCAGCCCCGGGTGCTGTACCAGTTGGACCGGATCACCCCCACCCAAATAGAAAAGTTTCTGGAGACCTGTAGGGACAAGTACATGAGGTAGGGATGCTCACCGTCTTAGACTACTGGATAGTCACAGGGTCTCAGATCCTTCCTGTTGGCCCACAGAAACAGATTCTGCACCAGCACCACTTAATGATAGTCTGTGTAGACGGATGCTCCAAGATGTGGAATTGCAAGGAAATTTCCAAGTGTTTTCTCCCCACAGAGAAACTACCAATATGTATTTGGCAGGTGCCACCTCCTGTCTCTACCTTCAGTTCCATTTGTTAGCAGGCTGTCCTATCTTCTTCAGGCAATAGACATTGGGGCCCAGTCATTGCCCGTTGACGCTGACCACAAGTAGCCACACAGTGTCAATATCTGGCCCTTCTGGGCATCGTGTCTCCTGTATGCACGTATTACTGATCTATGCCAGGTTCTTCCTCTGCCACCAGCACAGCTAAGCTCGTTGCCAATTCCTTCCTGACCCTGAAGGCATTTTTTCTGCTGAAAAGAAGTAAACAGAAGCTTCTCCCTGGCAGTTTTACTGGACTTTCCATCCACATCTCCCTCCTAGGGCACAGATGGAGCCCGGTTCTGCGGTAGGCGCACTCTGTGCCCAGAGCATCGGCGAGCCGGGCACCCAGATGACCCTGAAGACGTTCCACTTCGCAGGCGTGGCCTCCATGAACATCACCCTGGGTGTGCCCCGCATCAAAGAGATCATCAACGCTTCCAAAGCCATCAGGTGCCTGCCTCCGTTTCTCTTCTGTTCCCATACTGCCTGCCTCGTTTTTTCAGAAGCAGTGATCTCTTGTCATATGTGCTATCTAAATGGGCAGTATCTCAAATTCAGTGGCATGCCTGTGTTAATCATACTTTAGTTTTTCAAAAACCCGTTGGAAAAAAATTAGTTGAAACTAGATACAGTCAAAATCGAAAAGTGGTTCTTTATGGCCATTGGTCACATGAAAGAGAGAAACCTAAAAAACTACTGGAAAAATGACACCAATGTGTCAGTGTAGATTTCAAACTTTTTTGCTTTTGTTAATCCTCACCCAAGGATCTTTTCCCCCCCTTTTTTTAGAAAGTGGGAAGGGGGAAAAGGATGGGGAGAGAGAGAAACATTGATATGAGACACATCGATTGGTTGCCTCCTGTACATGCTCTGGTTAAGGCCAGGATTGAACTTGCAACACAGGTACATGCTCTTGAATCATGCTCAGGAATCAAATCAGAGATCCTTCGGTGCACAAGTCAGTGCGCTAACCATTGTGCAGCCCAATCAGAGCTAGGTTTCACTTTTCTTTTTAAATATGTTTTTACTGATTTTAGAGAGAGAGGAAGAGAAAGATAGAAACATCAATGATGAGAGAAAATCGTTGATTGGCTGCCTCCTGGCACACACTGCTGGGGATTGAGCCCACAACCTGGGTATGTGCCCTGATCAGGAATCGAACTGGCAGTCTCCTGGTGCATTGGTTGCCGCTCAACCACTGAGCCACGCAGCTGGGCAGGTTTCAAATTTTTGATGTTATATCCCCAGCCTAACCAGACCTGACTGATGTGTCTACCATTTGGGCTGTGGTCATGTTCTGTGACTCCCACGTGATTTCATGATAGGATTTGTAGGTGATCTGAGACTAGAAATATAGAAATATGTTACATTTGATGGCAGAATGATGATTCCTCTGTGATCTGAATAAAAACAGCATTAAATGAAGGAAAACTGCACTTGGCTGTAGAATGGCAACTATAGAAGTCCACGGTGGCAGGGGCTCTGAGCGCCTGCCTTCTCCGGGTGGGTCAGTCTCGTCCAGGAGTGTGTGTTCAGGGGACACTGCCAGGACAGCGGGTGTTGGAGGGGCTGGAGGTGTCCTGGAGAGCAGGTTATGGGGCAGGGGCAAGGGATGGCGGAAGCTATAATACACAAAGAGCCAATTTACTCGGGGAATAGAACTAAATTACTAATAACTACTTATTAGGACCAAAGAGGAAGAGGTAGGTGCACTTGGTCAGAAAGAATTTACTGAAAGGCATTTCATTCACTGGTAGAGTGGTTTGCCTCATGGGCGCCAAAAATAGTAAATGTAAATGAGAATGTCTGGCCCTAGCTGGTTTGGCTCAGTGGATAGCGTGTCAGCCTGCGGACTGAAGGGTCCCGGGTTTGATTCTGGTCAAGGTCACATGCCCAGGTTGTCGGCTCAGTCTCCAGTAGGGGGTGTGCAAGAGGCAGCCAGTCAGTGATTTTCTTTCATCATTGATGTTTCTCTCCCTCTCCCTTCCTCTCTGAAATCAATAAAAATATATTTTAAAAAAATAAATGAGAATGTCTGAGGAAGCAGCGTGACACAGCACACGCTCAATAAATTGCAGTTGCTCTGTGTGCGGATTTAACAAAGCAGCCATCTTCAAGCAGGCATACTTCTCGTGCTGACGTTGTTTTTGCTTTACGTTTCACAGCACTCCAATCATCACGGCTCAGCTAGACAAGGATGAGGATGCAGATTACGCTCGCCTCGTGAAAGGGAGAATTGAGAAAACTCTCTTGGGAGAGGTAAGGAGAAATCCCTCTTAATAATGAGAAAACTAGACCAATAGTATTGCAAGGAAATATAAAAACCAGGTGCAGTGGGTATGCCAGTTGGTGTGGCCACACTATTCTATGTCCTTCAAAGAAAAGAGAGAGCAGGCCCTGGCCAGGTACTCAGTTGGTTAGAGCATCATCCAGACACACCAAGGTTGCAGGTTCCATCCCTGGTCAGGACACGTGCAAGAAGCAACCAGTGAATGCATAAATAAGTGGAACAACAAAATCGAAGTTTCTCTCTCTCCTCCCTTTCCTATCCCTCTAAAATCAACTTAAAAAAAAAAAAAAAAAAAAAAGAGTAAGCAGGCCCTGACCAAGTAACTCAGTTGATTAGAGCAGCATCCAATAACGCCAAGGTGGCGAATTCAATCCCTGATCAGGACACATACAAGAAACAGCCCCACCCAGCTGGTGTGCATCAGTGGTAGAGTGTCAACCCAGGAACCAAGAGATGGAGGTTCTATTCCCAGTCAGGACACATGCCTGGGTTGTGGGCTCAATCCCCAGAAGGGGGCGTGCAGGAGGCAGCCAATGGATGATGTTTCTCATCCATGTTTCTATCTCCCTCTCCTTTCCTCTCTCTCTCAAAAAATCAATAAAAACATATATTTTTTTTATATGTTTTTATAACATATAAAAGAGACTTGCCTTTGGTGCTTCTGTGTGAGTCTGTTGCACCTTCATGAATACATAAACCAGTCCCATAGCTATTTATTACTATTTTTAAGTATTATATACTATACAGAATTGTATACATGCTGGGGTCCAACCCCAGCAGGTCCAGGGGTCCCCAAAGGTGTGGACGGAGTCGGCGAAGAAGGAATGACAGAGACAGCGTTCAGTTGATCAGCAGCCTAGCCAGGATCTCTAGCCAGGATCTCCAGCCAAGTTCTGTTCAGGATCTCCAGCGAAGTTCTGTTCAGGATCTCCAGCGAAGTTCTAGTTAGGATCTCCAGCCAGGTTCTGTGTCCATGTTCTCTTGCTAGGTTCTCCAGCCAGGTTCCGTAGCCATGTTCCCTCGCTAGGTTCTCCAGCCAGGTTCAGTCACCAGGTTCTAGTCAGGTTCTCTTGCCATGTTCTATCCAGGTTCTGTAGCCAGGTTCTGTCTCTAGGTTCTTCAGCCAGGTTCTCTAGCTAGGTTCTGTCTCTAGGTTCTGTGGCCAGTTTCTGTCCAGGATCTTTTGCCATGTTCTCTCCAGCGAAGTTCTTCTGTCTCTAGGTTCTGTGTAGGTTCTGTGTAATAAAAACATATATTTTTTAATAAACAAGCAGTGAATGCTCTTAGAAAAAGGGAAGGTGACTGATTAACGTACCGGTCTTTCTGACACTACAGATTTCAGAGTATATCGAAGAAGTGTTCCTTCCCGACGACTGCTTTATCCTCGTCAAACTCTCCCTGGAACGGATTAGACTTCTGAGGCTGGAAGTGAGTCGTTAACTAAATGTGTAGAGGCAGTCGCCCTCTGTCAGTCCCAGGCTGGTGCTGGTGAGCGGGGCCAGGCACGGGACGCGCTGCAGAGACTTGCCTTTGGTGCTTCTGTGTGAGTCTGTTGCACCTTCACAGTCTCTTTCTAAACCTGACCTGACACAAGAAATTAGTTGAAATTTTGTGCAGGCCACCGTACCTTCACGGTGACAAAGTATTGCAATAATTCATCTCCTTGTCAGTCTTCCCAGTGTCTAGAAGGGGCATTGGCTGTCTGTGTCTTGCACATCTGTGGCCCCAGCACCAGCATTGCACCTGGCTAGCTCAGTGAATGTTTTTGGGTAGGCGGTTAACCTTGCTTACCATATTGGCATTTATGGTTGAACGATTATCAGCCTTTCTCAGGGACAGACTGAGGCGGGGTGCAAACTGAGTAACTTCTTGGCACCTTCCTCCCTCTCGAGGTAGTTAAAATCTACGCTAGTCTTCACACATTTTGTGTCCCTTCTCTCGAGTACCAGGTCCATGTGTTTGTTCATGGGAACGATGACCCAAATTGAGCAGCCAGTTCTCCAGGTCGGGGTTTCTCTAGGCTGTCTCTGGCCACCTGCCTCTGTCCTTTTAGCACAAGAGCAGGGCCGCATCCGGGAGTGTAGATACGAGTAGTTGTGAGGTCGGTACAGGGGAAGTGGCACTGATGCTTTTAAATTGTCCTGGCCACCAACCTCGCACTCCCAGACGCCCCTGGAGCCCGGGCATGCTGCCATGAATTGAGCATGCATTTCCAGTGGGGGTGTGAAGGGACTATAAAAAGAAACTATTTTATAAATAAAGCACAAGTATACATACAGTACGTAAACAAATACAGTATATCTCTAGTATTAGAATCTCATGGTGGGGAGAGAGATTAGGGGAAAAAATGCCTGAAAAGACTTCTTAGAGGGGCAACGATGACAAAGGGCTGAGAAATACTGGAATCAAAGGCTCCGATCCGTCAGTAATGCCCTGGGCCTGGCCCCTGCAGGTGAACGCGGAGACGGTGCGGTACTCCATCTGCATGTCCAAGCTCCGAGTGAAGCCAGGCGACGTGGCTGTTCATGGCGAGGCCGTGGTGTGTGTCACCCCCCGTGAGAACAGCAAGAGCTCCATGTACTATGTGCTGCAGTTCCTGAAGGAGGACCTCCCCAAGGTGAGGCGACAGTCGCCCTCAGGCCCCCCAAGCCAGGTGTCGGGAGGTTTGTAAAGGGATGCATTTACCTCCAGCAACTGTATCTAGGCCCCAGAGCACCCTAAGTCCTGTCACTCCTGAGACTGAGGGGACACCCATTCCTCCTTCTGTGCCACACTCCTAAGGAATCAGTCGGTGTTTTCTCCTCAGTACTGTCACGCCAGCTCTGTCTGTTAGACTCCTCTGTTCTCTCCTAAAACGGACCATGGGAAAGGACACGGTTCCCTGAACTGCTGCCTGCTCCCTGGACCTCAGAACAGTGGGCAGGACTTTTAGGCGTGGACGTCACTGATACTCCCCACTGAGAACGGGGTGCTCCCGGGAACACACCACATCCTCTCTGCGGGGCCCGATGTCCACATCCTCTCTGCGGCTGTGGTTTCTGAGGCTGCCTGGGTGGTGGGGGCCATGGGCAGTGCAGGGCCTCAAACGTCTGTGTCTCTGGGTCCAGGTGGTGGTGCAGGGCATCCCAGAGGTGTCCAGAGCCGTCATCCACATCGACGAGCAGAGTGGGAAGGAGAAGTACAAGCTCTTGGTGGAGGGCGACAACCTGCGGGCGGTCATGGCCACTCACGGTGTGAAGGGCACCCGCACCACCTCCAATAACACCTACGAGGTACTGCTCACACCCGGGTCCCCGCACACGCGCCCTGTCTCCCTCAGCTGGTTCCTGGCGCTCCTGGAACAGCTGTTTGCTCTGGGTCTACCACTCAAGAGCTGATTCTGGAAAAGGCGCCGGGCTTGTGAACCTTCAGGGCAGAGGGGGGCAGAGAGAGGGGGGATGTGGCACCCGGAAGTGGCTGCTTCTGCTCACCCTGGCTCTCCGTAGGTGGAGAAAACTCTGGGCATTGAAGCTGCCCGGACAACGATCATCAATGAGATCCAGTACACGATGGTCAACCACGGCATGAGCATCGACCGGAGGCACGTGATGCTGCTCTCCGACCTCATGACATACAAGGTGCGTGGGGGCCCAGTCTCAGGAGAATGAAGCCGGCCGGCCTGCTTATAAGACGCGGAGTACTTGCTGTGGTGGCCACTGCGAGAAAATAAGACGTCACCATCCCCCCAAAACCAAGGCCTGGCGGGCAGGCTGGGTGTTCTGGTAAAACTCCAGCACAAACATTGCAACCTCCTGGTATGAGGGGAGAATGGTTTTGTTCTTAGTAGAAATCGTATCCTAAAGCAAAGCCAGCTATTGCCAAAGGCCGGATGTCCTAGCCAACCGAGGTGTTTATTCCCTATTAAACCCATTTATCTCACTTCTGTAGCCATTTCCAGGAAAAGACTAAGTTAACAGGATCGTGGGGGACTGAGGTTGGATGGTTGTTATGTATTTTTTCTCTTCCCAAGCAATGTCTCCTCTAGCAGTGCTAGAGGACAGCAGGCTTTTATGACCCTCCCATTCAGGCCTGTGCTGCACTCGGACGGTCCAGGCCCGCGGTGGGAGGAACGGCCTCTCCCACCTGGAGTATAGGCTGTGCTCTAAAGTCCCCTCAGTCTGCTCTGGAGGCACATACTATGTTTCTGCAGGTGCAGTAAACAGCGGGCCTGCCGTTTGTATGCTGCCTTTTAAATTTAACGCTATATTTCCCTTGTTGTTACATAGTTTTTAAGTATACTTTTTAATGGTGGCAAGAATATTTCTTGGAGTGAAAACACCTAAATGTACTTAACTCTATCCCTGCTTTGTGGTTTTTAAGTTGAGTTTTAAGTCTTCGAGACGTAATGAACATCTTCAGGAAGTGCTCTTTTCTCTAGATTCTTCTTTGTTCCATGGCCCCTGCTGGTGAGTGTAAGGATCCGTGTTGCCAGTGGCTGGCAGCCTCACTGAGGCAGGTGGGACAGTAGCTGTTAGGATCCTGCGCACACCTGAGGATGTGACTTGAACAACTCCTGTATTGGGCTGATTTTTGCTTGTTTTGTTGAGGTGCCGTGGATGCGGTTTGGTTTGAGCTTTCAGTAGTGGCAGGGGTGCTAGTCTGACAGGTGTCTCCCTTGACAGGGTGAAGTCCTGGGCATCACTAGGTTTGGCCTGGCCAAGATGAAGGAGAGTGTGCTGATGCTGGCCTCCTTCGAGAAGACGGCTGACCACCTCTTCGACGCCGCCTACTTCGGGCAGAAGGACTCCGTGTGTGGTAGGTTTTCCAAGAGCATCACCAGAGGCCTCGGGTGTTTTCAGCTTAGACCCTGGCTGAGGCTTTCTGGGAGTGAACACACTGAACAGGCAGAGCTTCTGGGGTTTTTTGTTTGTTTAATTTTTATTGATTTCAGAGAGGAAGGGAGAGGGAGAGGGAGAGAGACATAGAAACATCAATGATGAAAGAGAATCAGTGATCAGCTGCCTCCTGCACGGACCGAGCCTGCAACCCCAGCATGTGCCCCTGACCAGAATCGAACCCGGGACTCTTCCGTCCGCAGGCCAACACTCTATCCACTGAGCCAAACCAGCTTGGGCAGAGCTTCTGTTTTTTAAGAGTAAAGTCACAGGTCATGGAGCTGGAACCAGTCGATCTTTTGTCTCCCAAGCTTGACTGGAGCACCCCACGACCCCCCACATCTGTTAGGAGGCTGCTCTGTCAGGACAGTCAGTCTTTGTCCAAGAAGAAAAGAACTGAGCCTGTGCGTGCAGGAACCTTTCCAGCCCCTGAAGTCGCCACGCCGCTCCTGCACCCTCTGTGATGCAAGGCTGGCAGGAGGGGCAGTGCCCGGGCTCCCTGTTGTCCTGACTCCCCGGCAGAGGCATCCAGCCTGCCTTTTACGTTTGTGGAGCCCCTGTGCTGGGCACCTTAAATGCCCGCATCTCGGCACCTCTGTGAGGTGTAGGTATCAAACTGTTTGCAAGTAAGAAAAAACTAACTTACCTGCCATCCCAGCCGACTGCGGAGTCTTGCCCTGCACTGGCCTTATCCCCCATTCACAGAGGGCATCTCCGCCGGAAGCCTGGGAGAGGAAGGAAGGGGAACTGTCACAAAGTCCCTGCCGCCCACATGGCTCTTCCTGGTCCTTTACAAAGTACCTGCTTTACTCTAGCCTTTCTCATGCCGAGATCCTGCAGGCCCGGGGTGGGAACTCATGAGGGGCTGGGGCGCAGGAGACTCAGGAGCCTCCCCAAGCCACAGGGATTCCAGGCCTGGCCGCCTCCACAGCTCTGCTTCCTGCTCTCGAGTGGATTTGCCACACAGGTCAGGCGATGGGCAGGTGGAGCCCCAGTCGGTGTACGACTAAGATGAACTCTTCCTCTCAAAGGGCATCAGTTGCAGGTAAAGGGAAAGAGGAATTACATAATTCTTTAAGATAGTAAAGGGTGAAAGGAAAGAAAAGGGAGCAGAGATTGGGGCAGAGAAGGCAAAGCCAAGGTAAAGGTAAGAGCAGTTGTGCTTGACAAGGCCACTAAGACCCAGCACCCTAACCTTGCCCCCAGGATGTAGGCCCTGGGCCTGTGCCCTGCTGCCTTCCTATGGCTCCGCCCACTGCCCCTCTCTCCACTGCTGACCCCTTTGGGGCCTGGCACAGCCACCCACCCCCACTGTGAAATCTCTCCCCTCTCCTCCTGGTCCTTTACACATCGTAACGGAATGTGGTCCTCACCGCATGTTGGTTTTAGTTCGGTTGTTTGCCTCTCTGGTTTCCCGATAGCACCGAGCCCAGAATGTAGTAGGCACACACTTGCTTGTTTTAGAGCCAGAAGCCGGCTGCAAAGCCCAACACTGGATCTTGTGAAGCCGAAATGGAGCTCAGAGAAAGAATCTGCACCTCCTCCCTACTCTGGCTCTCCAGGGAGCCCCGCCTTCTGAGTGTCCCCGGCTAGAGCTGTGCTCTCCCAAGGCGGGGGCCGCCTTTGAGCCTGGCCCAGGCCTGGGCGCTGAGCACAGTGAACAGCTTGCTGTTGCTGTTTCCAGGGATCATCACCTGACCATGTCGTCCTGTTTGCTTTTCTTCCCGGCCTAAGTTAAGCAAACACTGGATGGCGAACTCGGGATTCCCTGTGCATCCTTCACCAGCCTTGCTAGGGGAGAGAGCCACTGAGCCATCGGTCTCCAGCTGGGAGCCGAGCTGTGGGCAGGCACTGCCCTTCCCCCGAGTGTAAATCTCTCCACCAGCGAGGAGCACAGTGCCAGCCTGCACTTCGCAGCATCCCCTGTCATAGATGAGTAGAGTGACCAGCCCAGGTTCAACCAATTGATATGTCGTGGAGCCGGGACTTGAATCCCAGTTTCTGGCTCCTACATCAGCAGTGTTTCTGTCCTGACAACCCACTGTGTGTCAGAAGCTCTCTAATCTCCTTCTGGTTGGTTTCAGGGGTGTCCGAATGCATCATCATGGGGATCCCCATGAACATTGGAACTGGGCTCTTCAAGCTGCTCCACAAGGCCAACAGGGACCCGAGCCCTCCCAGGAGGCCCCTGATCTTCGACACAAAGGAATTCCACATCCCCCTTGTCACATAGTCCCGGGAAGAGGGGACCACTCTGCCCTTGGCTCCTGTCTTGTCTAGAAAGGGGCTCGAGACCAGCAGCTGCCTCGGCTTTGTGCTCCTTGAAACAGAGGTCCTGATGTCCCCACCATGCCAGCAGCCAGGGCAGGCCCCCTGCACCCCGGGAGCGGCTCACCAGTGACCCTGACCACCCACAGTGCTTGGCCAGGACAGCTGAGGTTTCTCCACACCTGCCGCCCACTCTACCTCTCTGACACGAGGCGGCCTCACTCATCCCCACCTCACCTGTCTGTCCAGCGGCTCCCAGGAACGAGGGGCCTGAGCCCCAGGGCCAGGACACCGTCCCAGGTTTTCCGCCCCTCGGTCCTGCCATCACATCGTGGTGTGATGTACTTGTGTAAATATTGTTACTAATATTTATTTGTTCCGTTTGAAAAAGTTGGATTTTTTGTTATTTGGTTTTACTTTTGAAACCCAGCAGCTTAGAAACCAAGGAAGCCAGCATTGAAGCGTCACTGGAAAAACTGGTTGAGCCAATGAGACTGTCTGGGGCTGGAAAGTGAGCTGAGCCTGTCGTGAGGCCGAGCTGCTCTGAAACGCTTTCTCGTGCCCTGGTTACCCCGTTGCTTCGTCTGCCTCCAGCTCCTTCAGGTTGTGGCACTGCCTTGTCACTCTACCTGTGACAGAGGTGGGGGCCCATTCTTCGAGGCCCACAGGAGCCTTGCCGGTGCTCGGGGCCTGCTGGGGTGGGATTGTCGGTGTTCTTGGAGCTGCCGGCACTCCCTGGATGGCTTCCCCACCCTCCTGAAGTAATCGCCTGTGTGCACAGGGGACAGGTGCAGAACTGGTGGCCTGAGACGTGCCCCAGGGCAGTGCCAGCAGGTGCCAGCTGTAAGGGGTGAAAGGGTCACCCAGACAGGAAGGGAAAGGCCCACATGGGGTGGGGTCAGCTGGTGCCAGGCCGCCCTCTGCTGGTGACTGCACCTCACAGGTGGGTTTCATGGCCTCTGGAGTATAGGATGGCGGGAGGGAACACCAGCAGCACCCACGCTCCTCTGTGTGGCACACGCTTGAAATGGGGGAGGAGAGATGGCGGCAGTAGTGTGTTTCTGTAACAAAGACGCATTGCCAGGAGCCCCGGCCACCTGGGAGCACTCTGGGGGCTGACGCGTCCATGGGACGGGATTGCAATGGCTGCAGATGGGTTGGGTGTAGATCAGCGTGTGTCTCAGAATAGAAGGGTTCTGCGAGGGAGCTCACCACCCAGTGAGAAGTGAGGGGTCCTGCAGGCACTGGTTCTCGGGTACTGCAGCCTGCTGGGACCAGGGGCACAGGCGGTGTTGGCTGGGAGCTGTGTGCTCCCCGCTGTGTGCGCCATGGGGGGTGGGGGTGAAATTGTCCCTGACGGAAGCCTCCCCCTGCCCGGGGCATTGGACTTTATAGTGAGCACAGAGCCTGAAGACCAGACAACAGTATGTTCTCCAGAGTGAGCTCCATAGGTTAGGGTTTAGTCTGGGCCTGTTTGGAAGAAATAAGAAAAACATGTATATTCTGTCTCAGCCATTCACAGATACATATTCCTGCCTAGTCATCTGTCTAGCAGTTTGCCCTCTTTTATCTTTTACAAAGGATTAAAATAGCTATTGACTCCGTTACAACCCCTGCTGTGTTCAGCACTTTGAGCGGAGGAACATCCCAGAGTTTCAGTGTGTGTCAGTTAAATTATGGTGTGTTTCCATTTCAGGGTTTATCCGTGTGCATTCACACTGATTCATGTCTGATTGAACCTGACACTGTATAATGATTTTTCGTAAATTTTTGCTCTCTCTTGGCAGAATTCTATTTTTCTACCAAAGCTCAAAAGAGGAAAAATTGATAAACGTAAAACTGTAGCAATTCATCCTGTAGGTCAGCGAATTTCAGCTGGTGTGCTGCAGGAATTTGTAAAGCTGGCAATGCCTGGCCATTTAGTCAGGAGCACTGACCTCTTTGCAGCGGTTCTCAACCTTCTGGCCCTTTAAATACAGTTCCTCATGTTGTGACCCAACCATAAAATTATTTTCGTTGCTACTTCATAACTGCAATGTTGCTACTGTTATGAATCGTAATGTAAATATCTGATATGCAGGATGGTCTTAGGCGACCCCTGTGAAAGGGTCGTTCAACCCCCAAAGGGGTCGCGACCCACAGTTTGAGAACCGCTGCCTTAGAGCGACAAATTAAAGAATGACAACAGTCAACACAACAGTAGCCATTCGGTGTGAATGAATCAAAACTATACCATTTTTTTTCTGTCTGATCGGCAAAAAAAATACATATTTTGGTGTGCCACGGCATTTTAGTAGTTAATGTGTGCCACAATGAGAAGGTTGGACATCGCTGCTGTGGGTTGTGAAGCAGATGATTGGGATATGTACAGGCTCCAACTCAAAATAACCAGTGTCCCTGCCGCAAGCCCACTGTCAGGTGCTGGGGTCAGCAGTAAGCGCCAGCCCCACCCTGTGACGGAGCTGATTCAAAGCCAGGGAGGCAGTAGTGCCCCTAAGTACTGGAAGTGCCACCTGGCCAGGACCAGGTGCCAACTCAACTGCTCATTCAACAAATGAGGGCGTCCTATGTCTAAGGCACTGTTCTAAGAACTAGAAATACAGCAGTAAAACAGGTCCGTTAGATACAGACGCATCTTAAAATAGTTCAGCAAAGGGGGCAGAGAAAAGTGGTTCTGCATCAAACTTGGCAAGAAGTGCCTGTAGCATAGTCTAGGGCCTGGTTCCTGTGGGCAGGCTCAGCACTCCAGGCCTCACTAGGGTCCCTCTGAGCCAGAGCACCCCCCGCCCCAGGTTCCAACCTTCCCCTCAGAACCCTTTAAGCCCCCAGTTTGGTCTCTTTGCCTTGGGCGTGGATGCCAGAGCATGTGTCTTGATCAGAGGACAGCCTGCAGACCCTGGGAAAGCGTGCTACCATCCTCTCCCCAGCCCCAGCATACTTGCAGTGTTAGTGAGTGGAGTTTAAGACCATGCGTATTGGTTAAGCTTCTGCTCCGTACCCAGCAGTGTGCTGGGCCCTTAGGGACAGTCCCTGCATGCATGGGACTTGCCCATCTGTCTGTAGTCATCATGTTAAAAGCCTGGGTTCTGTGATCAGACTATTGGAACTCAAATCCCAACTTCCCTTTTCTATCTGGTGACCTTGAACCTCTCTTGGCTTCACTCATAAGATAGGAATGCTTTTGAAGGGTACCTAACTCAGGGTCAGTTTCAATGTGATTGTGCATATAAGGTCTTAGTGCAGCACCTGGCACAGAGCATACACTCATTAAGTGTGCTTGCATTTTTATTATGTGATTATCACTATTTTTACTAAAAAACACAGTCTAAAAATCACAAGTAAAACCCAATTCTAATCCTTTTAAATTCCTCCAGATGGAGCTGTGCTTTGTGGCCTTGGGCATCAGGCCTCCCGACTTACCCCTGCCCGCTTCTGCTCAGGAGTAGGTTTCAGTGTTTCGCACCACACAGGAGAGCCAGGGAAGGGCTGACACCGCAGTCATGTAGCCAAGGGCCTGAGCACTTAAGTTTGAGCCCTAGAGCAAAAGTGATCTCAAATGAAGGTTTATGGGTAGTAAGACCAAAATAACAGGTTGTTTATTTTTTATTGAGAGAGAGGGATATGGATATTTATATAAGGTTATTATATAACAGGGTGTCCCATGACGGGGAACTTAACTTCTTTGTCTCTTAAAGGAAAAGCTGCTATTTAAAAGTTGTCAGCGAAGACTATGTAAAGACATTGGTAATAATGGTTGCCTCCGGATAGAAACAGATGACTAGGGTACTGGTGGAGGTGACTTTATTTTCACTCCGTGCTCTGTTGTACCTTCTGAGGGTATTTCCAGTTCTTTTTAAATCAATATCTGATGCTAAAAAAAATCCTGTCACCTTGGAACTGACTTGGTTCTGAGTGTTCGGTTCTGAAAGGAGCTGAGTGGTAGCAGGTAGACACCAGATATTCAGGGAGAAAGGTATTGTTGTCAGGATCAGATCACACAAAAAACCTAACAGTCTTAAATGCCTAAGACTTTCTTTCTGACACAAAGCCAATAGGGGACATTACGGGGCTGACAGCAGTTTTCCAAAGCTGTGGGGGACCCAGGTCCCTCTCAGCCTCACCTCCGACATCCCAGGGTATGATCCCGGCCTCATTCCTCATGGCCCAAGGTAGCTGGTGGAGCCCCGGCATTCCAGCCAAGAGGAGGAGGGGAAGAAAGCCATAACTTTTGAGACCTTTCCCAAAAGTTACTTGACATCCGTGTTAATGTCCCCTCAGCCAGCACTAGCGAAGCCCAGCTCCAAGGGAGGCTGAAAAATGTTTGGGTTCTGGGCGGCTGTGTGCTTATCTAAAAGTAGGGGCTTCTGTTAGCAAAGAAAAAGGAACAGGAAGTGGGAAACAATTGTCTCCGCCTTTGGTGTATTGGGATTTTAATTTATTTTTTGACAAAGGTCGGCATGTCCCCCTAAGCTCCTCGGAACTAGAATGTGCTGGGGCGGGTAGGACCCAGGCGCCTTCAGAAGAGGGACTGCGACCCTGACCCTTCCTGCTCCCTTTGTTTCTGTTTCTTGCAACTCTTATGCCTGAGTTGTTTTTAATAAACTGACTATTAAATTAGGTCACATTCACTGAGCAGACTGTTCAAAATATATCTGGGCTGATGGAAAATATAACTGTCAAGCTATTCAATAAATTACACTATTTATTGCTCACCTACTGTAGCCTGGCCCAATACCAGGTAGTGGGTATAGAGTGACAAACAGTTCCTTTGCCTCTTTTCTTTAGAATTAATCCAGTCACCGCACTGTCCAACAGAAATACAATACAAGCCACTGATGGAATTTTAAATTTTCTCGTGTCTTCATTTAAAAAGAACTGGTGAACTTAATTTTAACATGTTTTGTTTAACTCATCATATCCAAAATATCAGTAGAAAGATTATGAATGAGCTATTTTACACTCTACATACTACGTTTTCAAAATCCAGTGTATGTTGCACACTTAACTGCACATCTCAGGTTTCAAGCACTCAGCTGCCGCATGTGGCCAGTGGCATTGTGTTCAGGTTGGAAAGCAGGTTAGTGCAAGAGAGAGCAAACAAATACCTGGTTACAGGCTGCCTGAGCCCAGGAGGAGCTCAGCCAGAGGAAGCAAGGAGGCCTGCTTGGGTTGGGTAGACCGAGAAGGACGCTGTGAGGCGGTGACATTGAAGCTGATACCTGGAGGCTGAGAAGGACAAGGGGAAGGGTGTGCCCCAGGCAGAGGGACTAGTGTGCAGGGAGCCCCTGTGGAGGGAGCCTGGACCCTCCAAGGGCCAAGAGCCACCAGCAGGAGGCCAGTCCTGTCCTC